AGTCACTAGCAATGATAATGAATTAGGTGTTCGGTCATCGAGCTATCACGCGTTCTCAAAATATCATATCATATTATCAGTATCATTTTAACTATATCAATTTAGTAATAGAGTGTTCTTAGAAATTCTACCATCAATTATATCATCATATCCGGTGTTAGGAGTTAGCCCCTACATAATAGGATGCTACGTACATGCTAGAAAAGTAATCTATTTACTGCGACGGACGCATTTCTCAACTCCAAAGGAAATATGATGTAGTAAGATCATCAATGGTACAATCACCTTATACCCATTAATAATTACCATGAAGTGATTAAATATAACCTTGCAAAACGTCTTCACATACAGGATAAAAGATGTCGTGAATCGACGCGTCACTTGGCGGAAGCAAAACAAAACATGGCGCATGATGAGTTAAGCATTTCCTCGTCAAGTTCCGCAATAAACGACGACTTTTGACCGCGAACGTGACAGATTTTATTCACACAGATGTAACGTCGTTTTATTGTCGGTTCTCGAGCTTCCGCGCACTGCAAGCGCTGAGGAAAATCGCGCGAAACAAATTAGAAACGGAAGCGGGAAACGAATTAAATTGTAATTTTATCATTGATACGGCAGCAACGATAAAGTTACAAATTAGTGTGGTGGCCGAGGGAATTGACCTGTTTTCATGGCACATGAATCGTACACATCTAAAATAACAACTATGATATTTTTATTAAATTCTTACTTTGTTTAATTTGTTACATGGAACTGATTTCTTTGGAATATTATATAACTTATGAATACATGCATTGGGTTACCCTGTAACGATATTTGTGTGATCATCATGACCATGCCATTTGCATGCCAATGAGGCGAAATATGTCTGTACTTTTATCTACACTGAAAATCTTTATCTACCATATTTCTGCAAATAAAGATGATCATGATCATGCAGTCTATTACGCAAACACGCTGAAGTGGGCTGGTCACATTGCTCGCAGAACCGACAGTGGAGACCGCGTTTAAGCAAATGTAGCGAAGGACGCCCTCAACTTGCTGGTAACAACTCGGTACACGTTAAGGGTGCAAGATAAGAATCATATGACGTTTACTAGGCGAGACCTACGTCCAGCAGTGGACAGCCAAGGGATGAACGTCTTTAAGCTCCTAGAAGTTGTATTTATACAGATATAGCAATGAGAATAACTGACGTATAGAATTTATAATAATAACAAATTTGGTGCAGGACGCCCTGCATCAGGCTTCGCCCAACGAAAGGGCGGCATAAAAATACCCATATATAAAACGTACGTATGTATAAATGTCTGGGTGTGGAAGATGCAACAGAGGTTTCCATTAAGGACCTGCCGGCGTCCGTCTTTCCGTCCGATTACAACGTAGGCGTCTTCGAGGCAAGTGTGAATAGGTTTTTACTGAGCTAGCGCGCTTACCATCAAAGGCTGCATCGCCACTTACCACCAGGTGGGATGGCAGTCAAGTGCTGGCCAGTTCAAAATAAAAAAAACTTTAGTATTTACGTATGCATGACAATGCTTTATCTCCACTGAAAGAACTGCATTTCTCCCCTTATTTTTTTGGTGCGCACCACACAGGAAGTTAGTACACCACTAACTAGCTTGAAATAATTATAAGACAGGCCTGTTCGGTTCTATACGACCGGACGATATCTAATTCCATATATTACGAAAGCAAAATCAAATATTGTGCAGACTAAGAACAAATTTTGGAATTTATTTCATTCACTCTTTACTCATCAAGCAGAGAAGGGAGGCAGAGTGTTACATCGATGTTGCCTTTTCGGCGGAATGGGTTACAATTACGCGATTGCCAGCAACGGTCGCCATTCGTAGCGGTACACGGGTTCAAGGCGAGCCTGGGCAACCGGTTCCAGCGCACTCTTCCGTCTCTGTCACCGCGCCGAGGAGCGTGGAGACGGAACACTGTCCACGAGGCATGTACTAGAGAGTATTCTGCATGGGTAATAGAATTGATACATCGCAACTTTTAAATACCACGACGTTTCTCGATTCCGATGATTTATAACGTTAGGTTACTGTTATTCTAAAAAAAGGTTTGCAATACGTGGGGATTTAGGATTTGTTACATTGTAATGCACTTCGTTACAATGATAAAATTTCAACTCACTGCCTAATCCAGCACATTATGCCTTACACGTCTTCCATTTCATCATAAAGGAGATCAAAGGGACTGCGTAGAATATCAAGAAAAAAAAAATGGCTGTAAACAATGTGACTTTCAACTTTCAACGACTTAAACGAATTTAAAATAAGTTTTTCTTGCAAGGAAAAAAATGTAAAATAATAAACAGTCTTTGGTATACATTTCCATCATAAAATCTGTAATGTACCTAAAACGGTATTCCTCGGTATCCCGTTTGAGACAATAAAACCGAAATCAAGCGGACCCTGTCATAAGCGGGTCAAGCGACGCACCGTACTGCTGACCGGGCCCGCCCGACCTATCAGTACGGCCAAAGTAAATTGGACCTTGGATCCCAGATTGTAAGTCGAAATTGCCACCAGCGTCGAAAACGGAAGCGGCTCGTTGAGCGTACAAACACTTCGAGACGAATCTTCCGGTCGAGCGTGCGAGTACTATACGCAGCTAAAGCTAAATACAACGCGCGTTTAAGAAGCGACGAGAATTGGCGCGCAGTTTGACATTTCGTGCGATTCGATCGCTTCGCTAGTGATGTGCGTTGTCATTCGCATAATAAATATCGTGTATACATAAGAGCACTTAACTATTGTGCTTTGATCATTCGTGTGTTTATTCGAGTAAGTCATCGGTGTTTGTCGAATTAATTAATCACTGCTGTGTTCAGAAAAAAGTTGTCACGACTGCATTAAGTTAGTTTTAGTAAAGTTTTGTTCATTTCTCAAGTGCAGTCTGCACTATAACTATATATATAACATTCGTAAGGCTGTAAAATTGAACTCGAAGATTTTAAATACAATACAATACAAATACATAATTTATGTATTTGCTAATTGAAGTTCTTGAGTACGTCCGTGGTCCTATTTAGTACAAGTTACAGGTACACCGAGCAACGAACGTGAAACTGTTAAGTAAGGCTGCTCGCATTCGAACCTACAGCAAACATTAACAATACTCCTCTACAACCCAGCCACCATTGTGTATTATTCCTACATCATAAAACTAATATTCGTGCTCAGCACTAACCAAAGTTTTAATTGAATTCAAACAGATTCTTGCGTACGTTACATTAGACAATGGAATTTCCCGTTTACACATTTGAATTTCTCGTTGATTACAAAAATTGAGTTTAACAACTTTTTTAACGATAAACTAAATAACAATGGAATTTCCCGAACGATTTACTTATTAATTTTTAGTTTATCCCGCTTGTGTAATAAATACATTGTACATAATTTTTGAACAGATACATATAAAAAATTTCGTATGTATTTATATATTTTTGAACAGATACATATAAAAACACATTAAGTGTAATTGACAAACGTATTGGCGTTACATATTATATTTTTTTATATACGGATAGTTTTTAATTTTACGTACTGGACCAACGGATTCGATTTTTCATATTTCTCATGTGCGATCACTACCGCATATCTGTGCACAGACAACCAGTGTTCGGTGACAGTTGAGGTTTTTTTTTTTCAATTTTAACAACTCATTTCTTGACAGTCATCAAGCCAAATCAATTTTTTAGCTATCCTTATGCCCGTTTTCACCATCGATCCTTAACTTCAAGGGACACCTGTACAATACTGTGCTCATAAGTAGTGTTCTTTATAAACGTCTTAATAAACCTTGTATAATTTTTGTCTATGACAGCACTGGCAACTGGAAGAATAGACGCGATCGCTCTGACAAGTCTTAAATAACTGTAAAATTATAAAATTACAATAAATTCTTGAGATAATGTTACACGTTTTGTTTGGACCCTAATAACACCTAAAATAATTTAAGTGCTATTTTCCTTTCCACCACCGCTTAACTGTCACCTAAAATAACACAACTTATCGGACACGATTGAATTTATAGGAATTTACCAAATACGTGTTAAATTATTATTTGACCATATTCCTCACAGACAATTTTGGATAAATAAACAAGTGTTCTTATATATTTATAGGCAGTCTGTTCGAATCTTTAATAGAGTAGTACAGAAAGCTCTATCAAGGAAATATGAATTGAGGCAGAATCAATCGGATTAGGCAGGCATTTAGGCAGGCTAAACTGGTTAACGGTTCTTTGTCGCGGAGTTTGTCACAAAAAGAGAACGAACAAGGTTTTACAATCACTTAGAGAGCGGTTGGGACAGTTTTTTTTAGAAAACCATAAAAAATTGAGTTTTTTGCCCTCTTACACGTCACAACTCAAATAAATAAACTCTCGTTAGTTTCAAGTCGAAGGTTTAACATATATTTTAATAAGTTACTTTTCTCTTTACGTTTTGATGGTTTTTCTTGGTATGTCCAAAAGCTATTTATTTATTTTATACCGTATCGAATAAATTGCAATAAAGCCTTTAAAATTAAATTTAATGAGCAGTGTTCGCTTGAATATAAGGAACTATCAAAGCGAGTCGTATCGACTTAACCGTGCGGTAAACGTTCTAACTTAACTTTCGAAATTGACAAAGCAATATCGATATGTGTACGAACGCGTTGAAGTCTTTTGAACGTGCCGAGCCCAGCGGAGCGGAAACCGGCCATTATTGTTTAACTAGATATCAGAAACGCGAATAATGCCACGCTGGGTCGTGAGTGATACACGAGTTTCTATTTCATTAATTAAGCACATTTTAACTAGCAACTTGATTGAAAGTAAACACGATTCGACGCAATAAGCCGAACGGACAAATACATTATTCACACACAACAGAAACCGCCTGACAAGATAAGAAAACGGCCAAAGAAAACGGTATAGAGGTCAACCAGCGCCGGCGAATCCATCGGCGGGCGCTAAGTAGACCGCGATCACAGATACCGGTTCAACGCGACCACGTCACACGGCAGTCTCGACCACGCATCGCTCCCAAGACGTATTACAAACTCAAACTGAACTTTCGATAGGTTGCGATAGGTACGAGTGCTCTCCGTTCGCTTGTCGAGTAACTGACCTGATAAATGTCTGGTGTCGGCCTGCGCTGCGACCGCCGCGGCCAGAGCTAGGGCCAGCCAGCACGCCTGCAAGGCGCCCCGCATCTTCAGACCACCGTGTACCACATCAACACCACAGAAACACGCACAGGACGGGAACAGAACTCGCTCGCGGGGCAAACAGTCAATTGTGTCCCTCAAAGTTGGCACGCGCTTGGAAAGTTTGCTGACGTGTTCGCGGCGGCGGGCGGCGGCGTGCGAACGTAGCGGGCGCGCGCGAGCGACTGGCGAGCCGGCCCGCGCGGTGTCGCCAGCCGTCGCGGCCAGGTTACAAAAAAAATATTGTGCAACTCACACTTAGATCTTTGTCGAGATAACCATTTTTTTATTAGCGAAAAACAAAACCGAGTCGAATATCTCGCCCTGTATTAATTTTTTTAATTGATTCTCAGAAGTTCCCAGAGTATCTCCGGAGCCCAAGATCCGATACCAATGGACCACGTGGGAAGCACCAGCTTTAAAATAAAAAAAAAATATCATCAAAATCGGTTCACTCAGTCGAAGGTTCTGAGGTAACAAACAACACACAAAAAAAATACACTCGAATTGAGAACCTCCTCCTTTTGAAGTCAGTTAAAAACGGTTAAAATATCAGGATAGCATACTTTATAACCTAATTTGCACACAAGCTATTTTTAGGGTTTTGATTTTGACAGCTTATTGGAAGTTTGACAATTTACAGTTAAATACTTAAGTATTTAACTGTAAATTGTCAAACTTCCAATAAAATTGTAAAGCATTCGTTTAATCACTCTAAAGAACATAAATTATATCCGTATTTTCGAAAAATGTTCATATAGAATGTAGATTGAAATTTGCCGACCACTGGTAAGTTTTTTAGCGCTGGCATCCCCAAGGCTCATACAGGTGGTCGCGGCGGGCAGGTAGCGCGGTAAACAGACTTCGCTCCCTCCCCCCCCCCCCCCTCCTTGCCCCGAACCTCTCTGTTTATTCGCGGCGCGACACTCGACAGACATCAAGCGGCCATTTTTTTTTCCTCAGCGCAAACTTTGACAGTTTTTCTGTGAATGACGACGTTGATAGATAACCGCGACGGATTCCAAAAACATGCGATTGTCCGTTTCTTTTAACCTTAATTAGTAGCCGCTTGAATGCGATCCGGCTAACAAATATTGGGATAATGTTTCCTTTTATTTTTATTGGTGTGTTTATTTGAATTAGAGTGATACAAAAATGTTACCAATAACTAAACTAAATCTCCCGTAGGTATGTAAATGTAAACAAATTTTTGTACTCTTTAAATCATTATATTTTTTATAACAAAATGAAAAGAAAACTGTTGTTATTTCTTAATGCCATTTTCCATCTTACACATAACATGAATAGATTAAAGTTCTAATTTAGGCAAAATAGGTTAATCAATGCTTTTTTTAACAACATTTGTAGGTAGGTACTCATTAAAGCAGCAAAAAAACAAATAAGCCACAGCGAAACGTGGCCTGGTCCAGCTAGTTATTTCTATGTAGGTATAAAATTAAAAGTTTTTTTTACTTTTACATTCTTTCATGTTCTTATAAAATATAAGGAACATATTTGTATCTTTTTTGTATCTTTGTATAGTGTAGTGCTAGTTTTGTAGATTACTGTTCTCGTTAAAGGAAGTCTTTTATTCCATTTTGTACATTTTACCTTTCATTAAAATGCATATACAATGTTAAACTTAATTTTAAGTGCAATCAGAATAATAATTCAATATTTATGTATTAAAAAGCCTGTTTAAATAGATAAATAAATAAATATTTTCCGATAGCCCTCACCACCTGTAGCAATCCACATGTCACCATTTATAGAAAATAAATGAAACTCGCAAAGTTCAGATATTATTCTTACGAAAATCGAATGGCGAACTTCTCACGTTTACACGCGCGGTCACCAAAGCATTCATGGGGTGATATTTGCTTTCGAGTGGGGAAAGTTCGTTCATCGTTTGTTTGTACTAGGCGATAGATTATTGCAGAGCGAAAAACTGTCACTCATATGCGATAAACTCCCCTTGGGTAACATCGGCTTGTAAGTGAGACTACGCATGTCCGCTTCCCCCGCTTCACAACTCAAATACCTAAGTTCACTGCATACGGAGCCTTAACAAGCTAGATTGGAATATCTCATGGCACTACCATCCACGGGACGTTGAGGAAAATCCTGGTTAGGTACGTCAGCGTGGAAAAACTGACTAATAATTATAACTCGTCGATGCCACCTGTTCGTTTTGTGAATGTGTTTGTGCATAATTATGGTCACGATGCACTCACACACGCGCGACCATATTCTGACGCGCTATATCTCGGCGGAGATAAATTAATATGATTCGTTGTCATTAAATGGCACAAAAACTATAAGTATCCACAAGCTTTAACGGATAAAAGAAACCTCTTTGAGTAATCCAGTTCATCCGTTTCTTTTAACCTTTATTAGCAGCCTGCTGAATCTGGTTTACTAACAGGAGTGTAATAAAGAAACAAAAGTTTTATAACTTGTACATTATTTCATAATGTATGTAAAATACCAGACCTTTTTATATGTCAATTTTTATTGCATCTTTAATACATTTCGGTACATGGAAGTGGTTTTATGTTTGTAACTTATAAATTGAGTTGGTCACGCCCTTAGTGACATATTTAAAACGTAAGTACAAATTTTTGATTATAATATACTCGATAAGTATATGATATTTAGGTTTTAGAAAACCTTCAAAATATTATTTCATCGAGTAAGATTTATTTATTTCTTAGACACGTACGCAACTATCCTTACAGACTAACCCAATGCAATAGTGTAGCCAAAAATTATATGTATATTACTTCAAAGAAACAATAAAACGATCAATTCTATGTAAACAATTTAACTATACAGCGTGTCTTTACAATCGCGACAGTAAATTAACACACATATAGAGGATAACTTTTTACAATTGTATTAAACATTTACTTTCTTTAAACATCAATATTTACAGAGTTATTAAATTTTCCAAAACAAAGAATTTTAGAACACCCTTACGTATAAAACTGTAACATAAACTTCATTTGTGAAGGTCACAAAGCATATGAATGGGTTGAATGAATTCAAAAGGGACAAAAAATACTGTTAGAAGGAGAGGCTTGTAATGCGACGCTGTGGCAACGAATGAAAAAGTCTCTAAATGTATGAATCAGTCAGTTGTAGTTGTATAGGTGTTACAAATTTTGTTTCTTTTTCACTTAATTAGTTTGTTTTTTTTTTTTTTTTTTTTTATGCACTTAATTAGTTTGTTGAGGGTTAAAAAAATATTTTTTTTGTAATTATGGAATTTTTTGCCCAAACAGCGGTAATAATTAGTTTGTTTTTTTTTTTAATTATGATTATTTGCAAGTAGCGTTAGACGTGTGTTCATTTATTTTCGTGATGGTAACGACACGCTGTATAAGAATATAATAAAAATAACGTACTTATTATTTTCGATTTAACAGTAACAGATCACATAATGAGATACTATGGTATGATCATCTCTGTGGAATGAAAACAGGTCAATTTGATTTCTCGGCAACCCCATTTAGAGTGAACAGTGCACGCGGGAACGGAACCCTAGCCATTATGTAAGTGAGGAATTTGCGGGTACAATGAGAATAAGTAACTAAACAAACAAACGATTTTATCCCAGTTATAGAGCTGTCTCAGCCATAAAGGTAGCCCATCTAAAACATAATATGTGCAATGAAGGCCAACCAAGTTCAATATTATGATATACCTATACCTTGGTTGTTGACATCAACGACAAAAGATGTGATATCTAAATGGGTGCCAAGTTTAATAGTCAGTCCTGGAATTTATTTGTAACGACTTAAAATCTAATATATAAAATTCTCGTGTCACGGTGTTTGTAATTGAACTCCTCCGAAGCGGCTCGACCGATCTTCGTAAAGTTTTGTGTGCATATTGGCCAGGGTGGAGAATCGGACAACATTTATTTTTAATCCCCCTAAATGTTAAGGGTGGTCCACCCCAAAAATTTTTTTCTACCCTACAAATAATTTATATGGCAAAACAACGTTTGCCGGGTCAGCTAGTATTTTCTAACCCTTTAAATATCATTCCTTATTATTTTGGATAGTATATTTTTTGCTGGTCCTACCTGGTACGGGTGCTTTAGGAGTCATGAGTCCATATTAATTACTCCTCCGAAGTTGTAACGATCACGCTACCGAGCGCGTCTCCATCTCTAACTCTCCTCCATAAACCTAAGCTGGCATACGCTGTAGCGTAGGAAATGATCTGCAACGGTTGTTCGTTATACAAGTTTTGCTTTATTCCTTTTACCACTAATTAATCATAGTTTATTTTATTCGCTATTCATAATATTTACAAGATTAAATCTATCTAAAATTACATATTACCTAATAAACCTAATCCACGCGGCACGGTGCCAAGAACGCTAGCTGCATTTCCTCGCTGAATAGTTATGCTTAACCTTTGAGCGAGGAAAGAGCCAGCTCTCTTGTCACCGGCCGCAGCGTTAAGCCTAGGACATAAACTGACGGACCTAAAGTTTCAACAGCAAATGGCACAAATACATTATCTAAACATAAAGACTCATATTTGCGCCATTTACTTACTTCAGCTGCCTCCGATGCCGCCCCGGCCCTGACCGAAGAACCGCTTAGATGAGAGGCAGCCAAAGTGTCTACACAAGTAGCGTCCCAAACGAGGGCTTTGTCTCTCTCCCAAGGGATCAAAGTTAAACCGTCGGCTCTCTTACCATCGTCGCGAAAAATGCACAGGGCTCTAAAATAGATGGAACATTGATGGAAACAAGAGTCCTACGGATGATGTCGTTCAGGGAACCGTGGCGGCATTGGTGTTTGCCCCCAGACGGATTCCTACAGCAATGCGTTAGCTTTCATCGTCAATTAATGTAACTAAGTTACTTGATGGTAAAGCGTGAAGCCAATAACTCGATTCTTTAGATAAGACCCCTAAGAAACGGGCACGCTCTAAATTACTTTCTAAAGATTGAAACGTATCTTTCTGTAGTCTCTGCACCAAAGGAACATCCCACTCTTTTTGTAGGTTTACCTCCAGTGGGATATTTTCGTTGTAGCAGATAGACAGCTAAGACATCCTTGCCTCCTCAGCATAGGAAAGTTCTGAAGGTTATTAAGGATATAATTACATAAATTATTTACGCTATGCACGGAAGCAAGGAAGGCAGCTAGAGCGACACTAGAAATTACCTCCTTATACCAATACCAACAAAACGGATTGGCAACGTAGCTTGAGTCCAGCACAGTCCATGAACTAATCATTAAGAGATAAATTTAGATTTTTTTTTAGAGCTGATTTAAGATCATAATCAACTTCGTTCAAAAAGTCACCGCATTTCCAAACTGGACTCGAGCGAAGGAGGTACGTAAATTTAATGTCAAATTGGTTCAAGAATATAATGTCGCAAAATAGTAAGCGCAATATGCGAATTTAGTAAGAACAATTTGTTAACATGATCTAAAAATTTATTTAACTTTAATTTTTAAAGAGGTTCTAAACTTGGTATTAACAGAAAAGCACCTAAAAGGAAAAGTGAATCTGAACGGAATACGTTAATTCCTGGTATCTAACATACCAGGAATTAACCATCTAAAATTTTGGATCAAAATAATTTTGTAGGAAAAGAAAAGTTCACATTTGGAATTATTTAAATAAATAAATAAATATTTCACACAATATTTTTCCAGTAATGGGGATCGAACCCACACCCTCTGGAGCAGAAGGCAGGTACACTACCGACTACGCCATTCGGGTCGTCGATACCGATATTTTTAAATTGTCTGATAATTTCGATAAGATCACTTTGTACATCGTCGACTTTACCTCTCAGCGTACCATCGTCTAGGTACCAGACATTAAGTTTATATTTCAATATTGAAATAATTGGATGAATTCCCAAAATAATTCGGTTTAAATGATGTAATGATTTAGTTAAATCGTATGTTATAATGTTATTTCGATAACTTAAAATTGTGTCGGACACCGCAAAGCCGAAAATAATATTTATCTGATAATGAAAGGAGCATGTTCAAATCCTACCTGCGGGTAGCGTCCATTCATGCCATATATTTGAAAAAATCCGTTATTTTTTAATGTTTTACAAGACATAATAAATAAATATTTCAATTCAATATTAATATTTCAATAGTTATGGACAAAATATTTTTTATGTTGTATTCATTTCACATACAATAGTTACCCTTTTATCTGATAAGTTGCAAATCTTGTATGTAAGACCATAGTAGTATATTCGTAAAAAGATATTTTCAACGGAATACAAAAAGGAAGAGGTTTTCGTTTTAGCCTAAAAGTCCATTTTACCGGGCCATAAAATCCAAACAAAAAAGACGTTTTCGATTTGTCGGAAATAATTATTTTTATATACGAGTATGTTCATCGTTTACGAAGACGCTTGAACCGATTTTGAAAATTCTTTTCGGAGATCTATTCTTCTTGTTGTATCTTCCATGAGGTCCCATTTTAATTTCATTAGTATTGGATCTTGGAGATATAATTAAACATCCTGTTGCAATAATTCACTTTTTTTTCTTTGTATTTATTTATTTTAAACCTTTTCCTAAATCTTCCTCTGAAATTGACATAAGTACTCGTAAAGTTATGATAAAGTTCTTTAACGTCTAAGATTGAGAGATATATTCCCGATCAATATTTAAAACAATAAATATAAAAAAACAATAAATATATAATATTAAAAACAATCTATATTTTTTATTTTTATAGCAACACTAAAACACAGCAGAAACTGACAGGATGTTATTGTCATATTGCATTGCAAGGCGCTACCTAGTTTATTTTTCAGTTTCAGCATCGATACAAATCCTCTACAGTTATTATATTAGTTTAAACGTATACAGCTTGACCGGAATATTTTGTTTTAAGATGTGTTACAAGTGATAATATCTCACCGTACACGATTAAACGAATACAATGTCGTCCACGACGGCTCCGGATCAACCGGACCTGTTATTTTTTGATACATTTTCGCACGATACTAGTGAGGTATGTATGATTTTGTAATCATTATAATATAAAAAGTAGAAGTATTACTGATGTAGAGAGTAGTGCGAAATGTATTTCCTTTTTAACAACAGTGACTACACACGCTGATTGACAGCAACCATTATTGCTTTTAAAAAAAACTTCAGTTTAAGCATTCTTATACGACATAGTTTTATAATATTATCATTATTGATTATTGTTTTAATAATACAATAACAATGACACAATTGTTTATTTTCATTGGTTTTCACATTTTTAATTAATACTTGCTGGCGGTTACTTCTTTTTTATCATTAACTAGCGACCCTCCCTGGCTTCGTAGGAGTGCAATATATTATACTTATATACCTTCTCTTGAATAACTCTATATAGTAAAAAAACCGCATCAAGATCCTTTGCGTAGTTTTAAAGATTACCATACTTAGGGACAGGTAGACAGCGGGATGACTGTTTTATATTATGTTGGCTGTTGTTAGTATAAGGTAATATTGAAATTTAGCTACTGTAAAAGTTATTTTTGTAAGATAAATGTTTATAGATTAACGAGAATTTTATATAGATTAATAGAAAATAAATTAGCCCTAAATATACTTTGTATGAAATTCTGAAAAAAGTTTTCCCTATAAATTAGCTTAATAGTGATTAACACTAAAGGTTATTTTGTATTAGGTTTTTTGCAGTGGTTTTTTATTTTTATTTTTTTCTATATGAAAAGTTACCAAGCAAGCAGACGGTTCACCTGATCTTAAGTGAATACTGCCGCCCATGGACATCCGCTACATCCGAGGGTTGTAGATGCGTTGACAACCTATTGAGAATCTCCGGCTCCGGCTACCTCACTTACCAGACGAAACACGAAAGTATCATACTCCCACTTTAGGCCGGTCTTCTGTGAGGATGTGGTACTGACCCGGACGAGCTAGCCCATTTGTGCAACAACCAAGGCAGCTGTGTGGCCCTACCACCGTTATTTTGGTGTTACCATAAGTACATTATTGTAAATTTCTACTTGTCAAATGTTGTAAAAAAAGTTCTTATCTAATAGAGCATTTACAATATATTATCTTATTTTCAGTTCCAAATCTATAGCTTTTATAAATGCAATAATAGTGATAGATAATATGATAGGTTAATTAGGAAATGAATTCAACCGTTCCTAATAATATAAAATATTAAAATTAATTTGTTACATTTTCATATCCTAAGATTTTAAAATGTAAAGAATTGAAATTTAAATTATACTTGAATAGTACAAATAAGTTAAGGAATATTTTAATATTACAGGAACTGAATTTGGACTTGGTACAATTTCCAAAATCTGTATACGTAAGGGAGATTCGGATCATCCCCCTTGGTGCCAGGGTCGAAGGTGACTTCCCAGGTGGTGTACGCCTTGGTGCTACAAACCCAACTAAGTTCCATATTGACTTCTTCGTAAATGATCTTAGTAAGCCCGGTGCCTCAACATTTGAAGCATTGGGAAGTTTGGACTATTGCCAAAATGGACAGATACACATGGAGTGTGGCTCATCTTTGGATCAACCTCGAATACCGACGGATGGCCTTGTGCTTAGAGGTTGTATATTTTGAATTGTAGTGATCATGCACATTTTTATTAGATGGCAATAAATTATTGAACGGCCTGTTACAAAATTAACTTCTATTTACTAACAATGTTCTACTTTTTTGATCTATCTAATTGATCCCTTTATGTGCATAGGATGGTACACTACAATCACATTGGCGGTTTATGGCAACTTGACGCAAGTGTTGACCGAAACGCCAGTCGGTGCCAATCCACCCGCAAGTGTGCAACGCCAGCCCGTGACCCGCGATGTTGCGACCGTTGCGCCGACCGTGCCGCAGCCGGCGGATTGGAACCAGGACGCTTCCAACCCCATACCCTCGTACACGGGCAACGTGGCCACCGCGAATCCCGACGCCTACGGTGCCACCGCCTATCCAGAAAACTACGACAGTCAGATGTATCGAAGCGATTATTACGAGAACGAACCCCCCAAGGACCCGAGGACGTATCACCACTTGGACGACACCGACTGGGAGAAGGATCGCAGGGATTTGAGCTGCGAAAGAGATGGCGACAGAATGCGCCACAGCCCGCGTCCTATGGAGCACGAAAGAGATCGTAGGAGTCGCAGACGGTCCTCGGACAGAGGGAGAAGCCGCGACTCGTCGCGCCACAGAGACCGCAGCCGAGACCTGGCCAGAATGGACCGCCTGCGTTCAAGGACCAGGAGCAGGGATAGGGACTATATCGTGAAAGGGGAGTACAGGCAGTTGAGCCGCTCAAGGTCGCACAGCCTCGACAGGGACAGGCTGCGGGGCCTGTCCAGCGACCGCGACTGGGACAGGGGCTCGTACAAGAAGGACGACTACCGCCGCCATCGCGACATCTCCTACGACCGATCCCGCGGCGGCTCCTACGAACCGCGCTCGCCCTACGACAAACGAGCCCCTTCGTACGAGCGCAAAGCGCCATACGACAAGTGCGGCCCGTCGTACGACAAGCGCCTGTCGCCGTACGACAAGCGCAGCTCGTCCTACGAGCGACGAGCGCCCTCCTACGAGAAGCAGTCCTCGTACGAGCGCAAGAGGCACTCTCCGTACGGCCGAGTGCGGGGCTCGAGCTACGGCAGCCGCTCGCCGAGCCGCGACGAGGCCAGGAAGCGGCCCCGCACGCCGCCCGGCGAGGCGCTGCGGCGGCCCCTCTCGCCCCGCGACCCCGCCGCCGCCAGCCCCCCCGGCCCCCCCGGCCCCCTCGGCCCCGCGCGCCCCGAAGAGCCCCCAGAGTACGACAGGAGCGGGAAGCAGATCCCCCGCATCGACTTCTACCACCAGAGCTACCGCCACAAGAGCTCCATCCGCAGCCCCTCGCAGGAGGTGGACAGCACCTACGCGGAGCCCCAACACTCGAGCCTGGTCACCGTCCAGATAGTGGACAGCGCGGCCGCCAAAGCGATGGAGTCGCCGGGCCGCGCCCAGGAGGACGACCGCTCTATGGACGTGGAGCAATTCGAGCCCATACTCTCAGACGAAGACATATGCGACGACTTGGATGGGCCTCCCTACATGGAGGTAGAGTACGACGTCAACGAGTACTGCGGTGTGGACGATATCATCAAATATTACAATCCGTTCAAGGCCGAGTGGGAGAGATACGAGTATGTCAATAAAGTACATCTCCTGTCCGGCGGCAAGGTACAAAGCGCGAAGCACGTTCTAAACGCAAGCTTCCAGGAGCTATGCGAGGCCAGCGCGGACCTATTCAAGATATCTGAAATAACAAAACTAGCGAATAAGCGTGAGCAGAAATTTGATCCCGCCACGTTCGCAGAGATCGATAACTCTTCCAGGGAAGATTGGGTGCATCAGTGCGAGCAGTTGTTCGTGTCGCTGACGAACGTCTGTAGGAACTCGGACATTATCCTGCGGATATTTCGGCGCCGCGAACAAACGGACCCCGTCGACGAGTTCGCGGATATTTGCAATTTGCTCCTTACGTTCACCAAAATCGGATTGAACTTCGACTTCGCCTTGGCCCAACAGCAGCCCACCTACAAGATAAGGCACATGAAATGCGGCATTCGTCTGACAGAAGCGCTGATGTCCCATGGCCATAACAGCCACGTGATGGAAGTGTTGCTGAAGGACGGCATGAACGTGCCCATGTTGCTGATGGAGATGTATTCAAAGGAGTACATGGCCTTGAGCATACGTCTCATGATACTCAGATCGCTTAACGCCTGTCTCTCCTCAAAAATAGCCATTGAAAGTTTCATGAAAGAGACATTGTTCCCGAAGTTCGACAAAAACGAAAGCGACGCAGCGAGGAAACCGATGAACGGCTACCAAGCACTGATTGCCATAATGCAGACCAATCCCCTAGCGAGAATAAAATTTTCGCTGAGCTCATTATTAAAGAAGTTGAACATTTACGAGGTATTGGGCAAGCTTCACGATTTGGTGTTAATTTTCAATAAAACAGCAATGGAAAGTAAGCAAAGCCACCCTGAACGCGAATTCTCTGAAGCTGATATAGAGTTCGTCATTAATGCCTTCGAAGAAGTGTTATACATGTACCGCTCGCAATGTTTCCACATGTCTCAACCGAAGCGTTTCCTTCCGGTATCCGCGCAGTTCGAGATCAATAGGGAATGCTCCAATCAAATACTCTTGGAGTTTTTCAACATCCATCAGACCCTCGAAGTGTGCCTCTACTTGCTGACATGCCCGTCCACCTGCAACAACTTGGTGATAACCAGTCCGATCCACGATCTCATGTGCGAATTAGTCCATTCGCCGAACGGTCTCAAATTCCTGTATCGGAATATGGAAATGAGTGAACTCCTATTTAAGACGTTGACGCAACCGTACGGCCAACAGAACACTGATGATATGTTCCCCCACGATTTGAGTAACTACGGGGACCTGCAAATTTTGGGGCTGGAGCTGGCGTACAGGCTTAAAGCGATGTACTATCTGAAGTCTATATGCGACCTGCAGGCGGGAAAGGCAGACGAGAATGAGCTGATCGACAGACTGCAGTCGCTGTACTGCCTCAGTTTCGGCAACATCGGGAAGACTTCTGTGCCCGATGTTATAGTGATGGACGATAATGCCGATTGCCTGATGGAGGTTTTCGAAAGCGACTTGAAGAATAAGAACAAAATCGACTCGCCCTCCAAGCAGAAGTCGCCGGCCAAGGGCTACGCGATCGAACTCATCGTGTCCGCAGTGAGGTTCTCAGCGGACGTTCCGTTCCTGAAGAAATACGCCCAGAGGTTGATGAACGTGGCGCGGGAACACGAGAAGTTCGAGCCGAGCGTGTCGAGCGTGCTGCAGGAAGTGATAGCGTACCTCAAGCCCGCCGAGAAGATGAACCTTTTCAACGGCGACGACATGGCGGACTGCGTCGAGGTTTTGAAGGCGAGCGCCGAGTACTCGCCCGACCTGCCCGGCGAGCTGACCACATGCCTCAGGGTCCTTCGCCATTTCTGCATATCCGACTACGAGCGGAGCGTTTCGGTCGTCTCCGAGTCAGCGACGGAGGAATACGTCGAGCTCAAGTACAAGTACAACGTGCTGCAGCTGTTCTCGCTCGACGGCGTGGCCCATCTGGCCGGTATTCTAGAGCGTCTGGCCACGCACTTCGAACAGCCGAGCATGCACACGGCGTTCTTCGCGTCGGTCAAGGGACTGCAGTTGGCCCAGATATTGCTCCCGTGTCTACGGCTCTTGGACGAGATGCTGGCCAGGGTGGTACGCTGCCGCGGTCCCAGGTTCCGCGACCTGACAGCCGCGCCCATTCTGCTGAAGACCTACGGCATGGTGAAGGCCTACCCGGCCGGTTCCGTAGGGTTCAGGACCGCCGCTCGAGCGGCTGAAGCGGCCGTGAAGGCGCTGCTCGCTTACGCCCAACCGATAGCCGACGACGCGAACGACGGGGACTCCATCCGCCGGGGGCCGTGGACGTCTCTGTGCTCCGAAGTCATACAGTACACCATGACGGCCCCCTACACCTTCGTGCCGGGCCTGCTAGTGTTCTCGGAGCTGTTGCCGCTACCGTTGCCGATGCAAACGAAGACGGCACCCACGGAGAGGGAGCTGGAGGACGCGTCCAACGAGCGGAGGCTGTGGTCGGCCCATTTGCACGCGCTGACGAGCGACCTGACCGACATGATCCAGATAATATGCATGTCCACGTACAGGCCGGTGGTGCACATGCTGCGGCGGGTGTGCGTGCAGATCGCCGATCTGGCGCCGAACACCGCGGCGACGGTCGCCCGCGCGGCGGTCGGGGCGGTCCTGAAGGAGTCGAAGGCGGGCGAGCCGGCCACGGCCAGCTCCGCGCGGGTGCTAGGGTTCCTGGCCTGTCTGGTGTCCCACGCGCCGGTCAAGTGCGCGGTGCTGCACACGATGAACAGCGGCGGGCCCAGGGCGGGCGACGTGCAGGCCGCCCTGTGCGCGGTGTTGGCCACCCCTGGCGCCTCGAGCGAGCACGCCGCCGCGCAGGAGTTCGCGGCGCACGCGCTGGCCGCGTTCTGCGACGCGGAGGTGACGCTGGCGCCGGCCAGCGCGCCGGCCGACGCCTTGTTGGCCAACTCCATCCCCAACAGGGAGGCGCTGAACGCGTTCCTGGAAGCCACCGCCGCCTGCCTGGACTCCGCCACGAAGACGTGCGCCGTGGCGGCGGCGGTGCTGCGCGCCTACTTCGTGCTGACGGAGCACGAGCACGGCTTCCAGCTGTTCAGGCGGTTCGTGGCGAGGAGGCGCGACTGCCTCGGCCGCCTCTTCAGGTGGGCGCTGGACGGACTGCGCGAGGATAGGGCCGAGTGCCTCAACCTGTACGTGGACCTGGTCCGCATCCTGAGGGTCGAGGAGGGCGAGGGGCCCGTGGGCAGGAGGAGCGTGCTGTCGGTGGCCGAGGTGGCCGACATGGTGGGCTACTCGGAGGCCGAGCCGAATCACCCGGCTTTCACACTGGAGCAGATGCTGAAGGTGCGTATGCTTCGTAGTACATGTAGCCCTTTCCCTTCCGTGTACATGTTATTAGGCGTCAGGATTCGAAACCTGTTATTACCTGTCAACTATCAACGGCTAAACGTTTGGACAAATTTTAATGATTATTCCGTCAAATGTATTGTTGTATAAGTGTGAATGTCGCCAAAAACAATTAAACTAGATTAAAATATGTAGAAAAAGTGCGAAAAGATTGTCACCGCTGTGGGAATCGAACCCACGTCTTCGGCATTCGCGGCCTGAAACTTAACTTAAACTAGAGTATAAAAATAAAATATAATGTAGAAAAATAGGTTAAAGACTTATTATAAAACTCCAGGAGCGCAACGCGGAAGAGGAAGCGGTGTCGAACGCGGGCTTCCTGGCGTCGCAGCTGCGGAAGGGGCGCGGGGCGGGCGAGGGGGCGGGGGCGGGGGTAGCGGGTGTAGAGGCGGAGGGCGCCGCCCTGCCGCCGCCGCAGACGCTCGTAGCGCAGTTCGTAGCGCGGACCGCCTACGTCGTAGGCGACGCCAGCGACGAGCGCCTCTCCAGCAGCTACTGGCTGAACGTGCCCGCAGCAGGGGGCGAGGACGACGTCAATGACAGCGAGCTGGTGAGCTGATGCACCGTCTTTGTAGGAGAGGTGGTTAAATAGAGAAGTTCCGTTCTTACTTGTTCATTTATCCAGTGGAAACCTTAAGTGCCCTATATATTATACGAATTGGGTATGACAAGTTGTTACGGATGTGTAGCGGTAAAATTATTCTAGTCACATCAGAGCGTTTCTCCCGCCAACACTACAATGGGCTGCGCGCTTTGGTTGGCCGTTTATTTACGCGTTCTTATTGGCTCAGAACAGTGTTACAATTCCTATGACAATCGTACATTTCTCAACAAATAATTATGGATTGAAGCAAAGCAGCGGGCCGAGCTGAAGTTGTCGGTGTGCAGGTGGCGTGCGACGTGGTGGAGGTGGCGAGCGAGCACCTGGGCGGCGCCGAGCTGCTGGCCGCGGGCGTGCGGCGGCTGGCGGGCGTGCTGGACGCCAGGGCCGACGCGCTGCCGCCGGACAAGAGGCCCGCAGGTGGATGGACGGCCCAGTTGCCACACTCACCGAAACGCGAAAGTGTAACAACTTCCACTTCGCAGAGACTGTTCGTGCCTCGACATAGACTGTCACGTAACCATCACAGTATTTAAATGCTTAATTAAAGGTTAAATTGATCAGAACTTTACCAACAACAATAACTAATTAGCATTGAAACAGTACAAAAGACTGAGAATGTTAATATGGGACATAAACCTCATATTTACATTATATTGAAATTGTTTGAAAACAGATGCGCCAAGCATCAAGCTTGAAAAACAACGTATCTTACGTTGAGATTTATGTCGGTGAGAAAATCAGCCGGTTAGCTTAGTGGTTAAAGCGTCTATACGCGAGTCCAGAACACGTGGGTTCGACGCCCACAGTGACATGTATACAAGTTCCAATGAAACATTGCCTGTCCACCCCAAACGGAGTGCGTGTGCGCAGTGGCGCTGAGCCGCGTGCGCGCGGAGGGCGGGGCTGACGCGTTCCGCTCCCGCCCGCCCAACACCTCGCGCCCGCCCTCGCTGCACGTCGACGACTTCACCGCCCTGCACCAGCCCTACGCGCTCAGGTACGCCGCACTTTCGCTTTACCATCCACGTGAACTGTCACAGCTTTTCGTGATGAGGGTTAACGGTATCCGCCAATGTTGCTACAACCGCCCTCTGTCAGTTCAAACTTTTGTGCTGGAGAAACGCCCTGGCGGTTCGCCTGATGTTACGTGATAGCCGCAGCCCACGAATGTTTGCAACATCTCGTCCGGGGTCTCGGCTACCTCACTGACGCGACGAAAAGCATAAGTATAACATTTCCACTTCACGCCGTACTTCTGTGAGGTCGTGGTACTCCCACGGACGGGGCTGCCCAATTGTGCAACAGCGTAGACTGTTGCTTGGCTTGGCTATTAAAAATAATAAAGTGCAATATTGAATCTGTTGACCACCAGCAGAGGGGGAAGGCGCACCGGCGGAGGCACAGACCGCGGCCGCTTCGCCAGCGCGGCGCCTCCGCACGCGCACGCGCACTACCGCCAGCTGTGAGCAAACTCATTCGCATTCGCCCCATAAATATTGTTCATTCACTCTCAACCAAATGCACTCATATTCACTCTAAGATATTGTTCATTCACTCTCAACCAAATGCACTCATATTCACTCTAAGATATTGTAACTACTGTACTAAGTATAAACAATTTCAAACAATTTGTAAAAGCTACCTTAATGGCAAGGGCCTACTATAATATCCAAGAATACATGGAGGACAAGGATGTTTGGAAATAACTCTTGCTCTGCACTTGCAAGACCCCTGGCTACTGCTGATTTTATACCTAAATAAGTGTGTATAATTGCATCAATAAAATATATATATAACAAAAGGAACAAGACCGCAGAGTTTCTTGCCGGTTCTTCTCTGTGCAGGTCTAGTTTAGTGAACCGGCGGTAGATTTTTTGTTGACGTTGAATAAGAGCTTAAGTTAGGCCTATATTGAATAAATATACTTTGACTTGACTTGAATTGTTCATTCACTCTCAACCAAATGCACTCATATTCACTCTAAGATATTGTTCATTCACTCTCAACCAAACGCACGTATTCAATCATGAACATTGTTAATACAAATTTTAATGTTTAATCCTAAGTGCAGAGATTAGCACTATAAAAAGATTAAATTCCTAAAGAGCAATGGCGACATCTCTCGTTACGAATTATCGTTGTAAAACGATATTCGAATTTGTTTGTATGCTGGAAAGGATATAACAATGGATGCGCCAAGTATTGCTTCAGATGCTAAGAAACAATGTAGATAAAAGACGTTCAGATTTTCAACGGTATGGCGATCACCCCTTTAGCTTATAACAGTAAGTTTTCACCCCTATCTCTAAAAGTAAAGTAACAGCCTATACATGTCCCAATGCTGGGCAAAGGCCTCCTCTATACAGAGGGTATCAGGGCATAGTCCACCACGCGGCCCCACTGCGGATTGGCGGACTTCACATATTTTCGAAATACATTTTTTTTTGTTATTATTCCGAAAATATACAGGTTTCCTCACGATGTTTTCCTTTACCGCTGAGCACGTGATAAGCGAGCACTTAAAGTTAAAAACTTCAGTGGTGCCGGCACCGGGAATCGAACTCAGGTTGCTCGAGTATACATTGAATTAAGGCGAGCGCCCGGACACTGAGCTATCACGGCTCGCTTTTTTTATGTATTTAATATATTCAAATACATTTGAATTATTGCAGAATCCGTGGCTCAAAGATGCTGGGTTCGATCCCACACAACAAGTTTAATTGCTCCCAATCTGGGTCTTGGATCCATGGGACATAAAAAGCCTGGTCAACCTGGCCACAAATAACATGATTCACATGTGTGACCACGTAGTGGGGATAAGTGTGTAAGAAGAGTAGTTGGTTTTTTAAATTTTTATCACTTTTGTAGATTATGGCAATTATTAACATTTAAAAATCTATTGAGTGACGCCAAACATTACTTAAAAGTGTAGTAAGAAACAGAGTACATAAAATACATTGCGATTTCCATCGGTATGAAGATAAGCCATTCAGCCCTGTGGCAAGAGCGTCCAGCACATGCTCTTGGCTATAAACTTTTCCTCCATATTTCTGTCACAATTTTAAATTTCGTCTTAAGTGCGGAGAATAACACTGCTAATATTAAGAATTAAGTTGTTAAACTAAGAGGAAACTTGAATGCAGTGTGCCTTTTGTTGAATGTGCTCATGGAGAGGTACCGATTCGAACCCGTTGCAGGCGCGGCCGCGGCGCGTGGGAGCCGGCGCAGCACTTCGGCCACTTCGCGCCCGCGCACTACGCCATGGGTGAGATACCCCACTAATTCGAAGCCTTCGTTCAGTACAGAAGCATTTCAGGACACATTTCTACACAACATTATCTAGTCCCAAACTAAGCACAGCTTGTACTATGGATGCTACATAACTGATAAACATACATAATAGTACTTTTCGTTTGTAAATACATACATAGATATATAAATACCCATACACTACAAAAACTCTATGTTCATCACACAATATTTTTCAAGTAGTTGGGATCGAACCCACACCCTCCGGCGTAAGAGACAGGGTCACAATCCTCTACGCAAATTGAGTTGTTAAAAGGAAATGCAGTAGCATTACACTCACATATGGTGACTCCGTGGCGCAGTGGCCAAGATATTGGCTTCGGCGTTGGGGGTCGTTCCCACACGGGACAACTATTTGTGTGACCCACAGATAGTTGTTTCTGGGTGTTTGTCCACGTGAAATTTATGTATGTATGATACTGTTATCCTAAAGTGAGGGCAATGCCTTTTAAAAAAAACATATTGATTTTCATAATACAACCATTCAGTCTACTGATGATAGATTTCCAAAGGAATTGAGATGAAAATATAATCGAAAGAATTAGATTTTGAATAATAGTAATTTGGAATAAAAATAATAATGTTAATTGCAACTTACATACCTAATTAACCCCTGATTTTGGTTTGTTTACACAAAGAAAACTATATAAACACCAAAGTAATCAATAATTTCTAAATCCACATGTAGGCCTTTGACCAGCTGTGTGTTACATATTTAATTCAAAGTAGTGTTTATTATGGGTTGTTGTGCTCCGTGAAAGAAAGCAAAATAAAGATAACAAATAATTTTAAAATCTACACTAAGGTAGATCTTTGTCACGCTGTGGGACATTTGTGTATTTAATTTATAATAGTGTATGGTGAAGTCCGACTATCAGTGGTGCAATGCTGTCATCTTATAAGTGTCGATAAAAAAGAGAAAGTGTCTATCAGTTTAATTTAAAACAAATTGCTATTTATTTTAATAAGTATACAAATGGTTCGACATTTGTGTATTTGATTAGTAATAATGTGTGTGTGTGTGTGTGCAGGGGTGGGGTGGGGTGCGGGGCGGATGCAGCGAGGCCCCCGACATCGGGCCTTCATGCGTTAGAAGAGGGGCCGAACAGATACTTCCACGACGAATAAATACTTCCTTACGAATCCCCTTCGTTTTATTTACCTGTTTAATATCATGGGTCGACTCTCAGAACTGTTGCAACTATAGCAACACTAAATGTTACTAATATCAATTTTATACATAGCATATGGCAACGTCATTGTTATCTCTTCCTTTTCCGATCCGGCGATTCCGGGCCAAATACACACTTGTAACTTGTCCTGTGAATTTTATTAATTACTCCGCTCCACGAACACTATCACCTACCAAGACATAGGCAGTCCAACGCCCTACAAGAACCATTGTTTAAAAATGTCGACTCTCTACTTCCATTGAAACCACGACTCGTGTCTATTATCAATAATCTCAAATAAATTATTCGCTGGATACCAATTATCACTCATAATGAATTAAGCCATATTATATTCGTATAAAAGAGATGCGAAATAAATTAAAACTAGGTGACCCGTGCGAAATTCTCTCACAATAACTTGATCGGATATTGGAATGGTGTTTACTTTTTAAATAAGTGTTTATCAATTTTCTAAAACGTTATCTTTCAAAATAGGGTAGAATCTTTTGAAGGAAAACGTCAACTATGCTATCTTGTATTTAAGTATATTATCGATAGATGGCGTTATAGTACAAATTAAATGAATTTTTAAGAAAACTAACATTGCCGTACTTGTATAATATTCGTCTATAGCGGCAAACATAAAATTAAAAATTTTGTTCGACTCATTAAATTTGATAAATAATTAAGGAAGCTACAATGTACAGATCAAAATACCTTTTAATCTTTATGTATTCTTAAGAGATTCTTCTTAACATCACAATAATACGTAGTAAAAAAAAACAAATCTTAAAATAATATATGAAAATGTTAATTTCGATAACTTAAAAACACTTTCATTAAAATGTTTACAATTGAAAATTCCGCTATATCCATATATAATATTATTTTAAATGCGACGGTCATAATCGGTAAATGAATTTTAAAATGAAAAAATATATTTAATAAAAAAAGAAAGCTATAATTAAAATTGATAAATAATGTATTTGTTTGTGCGGCTCTACTTTCTTGCGAAGCATACGTTTTTATGTATTTTTCTGTTTTGATATCTTTAAGGATTCTACATCGTTTTACAATGTAAGTATGAAAATACAATTGAATTAGTTCAGTACAGGAAACACTACTTATTGCAATTTTTGAACTACTGTTTTATATGTATAATAATTTTGCACGCAGTTAGTATTTCAATTTGAAAATAATTAGAAGCAAGCCGGTTTTTGTTTTCTACAGTACAGAATTAAAGTTTATTCCGCCACGCGACACCACTGCGGATTGGAATATAAAGTCATTTTTCGTTAATAATTGCATTGGTGGAATTTTTTATATAAAAAAGCTTAAGAATTAATATTATCGTTTGTCGGCCTTGTGTGTGCAACACAAACATAATGTTACTAAATTTAAACATTTAGCTAATAGATGGCGCCGTCTACATATTTATCCTTTTAGTTTTGAAAACATTACAAAAGTGCGGGAATTAGTGAATTTTTAGAAGCGTATAGTTACTGTAGCTCTGCTGTGCCGTAATAAGGAATCATTTTCAAAACATTCTCCCTTTTTTTTATTCGAATCATGTCTTTATCCTTTATAAAATTCCGATATTTTATCTAAGTTGTTTTGTCGGTGCTTTGCAAGGCAATTCATCCTCAACTCTTGCGTTGCTATTCTTAACAATTTATTCGCGAGGGTTTAAATTTATTATATAGGAAAAAATAAATTATTAAAAGCCAACGAAATAGTGAATGTCTTTGAACTTTTGTGAACTTTTAAAATTACAATTCAAGTATGGCGCCATCTATGCTTGTTTACGAAATAGTATTTTTTTGGAGTGTTTAATTTATGGAAAATATATATCTTACATTGTTAACACTAATAAAATTGGCTCACAGATTTTCTCGCATTTAAACGACGTTTTGGGTACCTAAACTAATAAAAATGTTAAATTCGTATCAATTTGTAAGTTTAATATGTATCAGGGGAGAGCGACTATCCTGAATTTAGTCAGATACTAGGAACTTCTTGGTGACATTTATTGTGTGACTTCTTGGTGACCAAAAAATGCAAATTTATTGACACGTACATTGAGAATGAACTTCGAAAAATGTGAAATAAAATTTTATTTTCCTATATACATTGTACATCTATTACATCAATTTCTTATAAACTATATATTTCTGCTTATATAAAAACTCGCTGCATGAAACGAACTTCCGCTTTTTCACACGGACCAGATTTCAAATGATTTCTCCTAAATCTCACTCGATCCTTTATTTTCCATTCATTACGCACATTCCTACGTTATTGCGAGGATGTTGAAATATGAACAGACAGTTTGTCGGGGAGTTTCACGCCGGGCCATTAGGCACATTATCCGGAAAGCGTTCGCACACGCGAAGTTAATCTAACTTTTGACGAGAACAATTTATAATATAAATTGTTCCCACTTATTATTGTTTAAATGGAAGTTGCGAAAAATTTTCACCAATTTGTCTCAACAAACAACCTTTCAACGCGATTGTCGTATTAAATTATCTCATTCTGCATTGGAGGCGTTTTTTATTCATAGATAAATTGCTTTTAAACACAAAACGTCAGTTTAAAGTTTAGCATATCATTGACCTGTTCATTAGACCGGCAAAGGCGTGTACTTGTTCGAGCGTTATTATGTTAAAAGAAAGTACGCCCTAGAAGTCAATAATAGTTTCATAGTATATTTCCTTCAACTTTTTCTACTTCCTCGCGTGTTAAAGAGCTTACCTAGATCTAGAACAATCGTACCGTTCGACCTAGATCTGCTTTGTCCGTTTGAAGTGCCTCTAAGATGCCATTGTTACGAAAATGGAGCTTTAATCTGAGATTAATATTTTATGCAGCGTGCGGTTTCTGGCGGCTATTAAGAGCTTCTGTGCAAATTGCAAAGTGTGAGAGAATGGAATAGGAATCTTGATTTTTGTACAATGATAACTTTTAATATTAAAGTGTTTAATATTAAGTTGTTGCTAGGCTATTGGCCTCGGCGTCGGCGGTCGTGGGTTCTATTCCCGCACGGGACAACTATTTCTGTGACCCACAGACATCACACAGGATTTGGGTGTTTGTTTCCCAAGAAGGGTTGACTTTAGGCAGGCGGCCGGTAAAAATACCATAGCCAGCACCCACCTAGGTGACATACAAGTGCAGGGGGATGATATTTATTGCGAGTAATTAAGGCCTTAATCTTTCTTAGTGACACTCCGTGCGAAGGTCATCAAGTATAATTATTCAAATAATCACAGTGGTGACTGTGCACCCTCCAACGAGACTTATAAAATAAAATTCTACCTTGCAAGCGGAACTTGTCTTAAACGAAGTTAAAAACTATATTTTAGTCTTTCAAATTAAGTAAATTTACAAGGCATGGCTGGTAAGCTAAGCGCGTAGTTGACACTTACTTTGGAAATCGTTTTCGCGCAAGAGCAATGCAGAAAACATCAGAGCTTGCCTTTAATTATTCTGACGTCCATCAGAACAAGTGATGGCCTAAAAAAAGTTAGTTACTAGAATTTGTCCACAAGCCCGTCATTAGATCGATAGCCAAATATTTGATACAAACAAATTTGAATGGTGTTCGGAATGGGAATACTTAATAAAATAAAGTATATTTTAACACAAAGTTCACTTTATATAGATGAAGCCACGGGTAAAAGCTAGTATGTATATGCGTACTAGCTGCTGGGGACATCACTTTATATCTGTCGCTCATTTTGAACGCACGATGTCACATTGACAGCTGTCAGCGAAGCGTCACACTCGACCTTGGACTGAATGACAAGTTTCCATGTTTATAATTCGTTTTATATTCGTACGACATTCGAAATATGGCCAGTTGATTTTTTTATTCGCAACTTGTTAATGCCAATCACGAACAAAAGTATATATTAACACTTTTGTTACGTCTGGTGGTCGTGTTTGTCGCTTCGGAAGACCGAGATGGACATGCTTCAGTTTAACTTTAGGATTTCGTCAATATATAAATGTAATATTCCTTTTGTTTGGGCATTATACTTGTTTCTTAGTATAAATAAATGTTGGCATGGCTTTTGATTTTTGATTGACAGATTGGAGAGAGGTTGCAAAAGCATGTGCCATTATTGAACAAACTTACACACTCTAAAATAGTGGCATATGCTTTCGCAGGTTGAACAAACCTGAAGTCGCTGGTTCGAATCCCGCGTCGCCGAAAGGTTTGTTCATTAATTCAAATTCAAATATTAACAATTTAACACTCATCTTGAATGCAGAGATGAGCACAATTTTTTTTTAATATATTAGTGTTTGCTTGTTTCAAAAATATCTTAATTATCCTTCTTGCCTTTTCGAAGTGCCAAATTAATTCCTGGGATGCATATGAATGTATTATTGCATACGTATTACAGCATAATATTCGGCTGTCTCTTTCAAGAAGGTAGTGACGACGCAAAAACCTGAGAGTCTGTGTGCGTTTCTTACACACTCACCCAGATTTTATCGGGGGTTAGAGGTGGGTGAGAAATAAAACAACCTTGGAAAATTTAGAAACAAATCAACTTTATTTATCAAGATGAAAAAGATCAAATGATATATTTATTCATATATAAGCTTGCGTGTGGTTCGCGTGGGCCGCTACGCGAATCGCTTAACCTTAACGCCAACGAAATCTCACTATACATACACTATACAACGTATACCGTTATGATACATATGAAACCAAACGAAAATACCTCCAAGTTGTGGACATACGAGACGCTAAACGTACACTTCGAGCGTCGCGCGAATAATCCGCCAAATCGTCCGTGTGTTCGGCGCGGCTACGCTTTGTTCGCCCTATCCAGTTAAATGGTAAAAGATCTCACTATATCGTATATTTACAAGGCCCGGGGGCCGCAGTCTGTACACCACTCGCGGGGAGCGCCGGGGCGCGAGCACTAGTCGCCCGGGTGCTCCGGGCACGATCTGTTCACCTCGAACCACTGGTCTATGCATCTGTGGGCAAAATTTTAAATCATTATCAACGTTACATCGTCATCGAACATCGAGCGCTCTTGAATTAATCTTGAACAATTGTAACGGACTAATAAAAAGAGATAGATATGCCCACAGATCCTCGGCTTTTATTCACTTAGTCATTAATTCCGCCTTTGTTATTCTTTTCTTCTGTTTCATGTTCCTTTATTTCAATAAAGATTAAATATGTATATTAATAATTTTGAGTAGAAAAAACTGACTTCAAACAGGAAACTGAAAGCATTGTTGCATTGATTTCTCTGAGCCATCATCAGATCTGGGTTTTTTATCATGGTACCACCCTTGGGATATCTCCATACCAACAAAAAAAAGAATCATCAAAATCGATTCATAAATGACGAAGTTATCCCCGAACACACATAAAATATACGGGCGAATTGAGAAACCTCCTCCTTTTTTGAACTCGGTTAAAAATACATTGCAGTGTGGGACGACCGCCCACTAGATGGAGTGACGACCTGTGCAGATGTGCGGGAAGTCGATGGACGCAGGTGGCTCAGGATCGCACTTCGTGGGAGTCTATGGGGGAGGCCTATGTTCAGCAGTGAACTCTCAGGCTTAAATGATGACGATAATGATAATACAAAAAAAATATACGAATATCTTTTATTTTTAATCTATTTAATTTATGATCTAAAACTAAAATCTTCAGTGACGGTATGATTATGGTAGTGTGATAATTTAAATTTGACCGACCCGTCCCGGAAACATGAATGCTCAAAAGTATTCAAAACGTCCGTAATTTAAACACGAATATTCGTATACGTAGATATTTTTTTGCACAAAGTTACTACCACAAGTTCGCTAACAAGCATACACGACAAGCTTGTAAAACATGCAAAAAACATTGTATGCGCTTCTATACGAGCGATTCCTTGACACGATTGTGCAAATTATGTCGTTAGACCGCACCTATGTTTACTTGAGTAGTAACTTAACCATATTTGCTCTTTCAAAGACAATCTTAAATGCACACGGCATGGATCGTATGAAGGAAATTGTTGCCACGAAAAAAACACCGTAAAAACCAGTTGAAATGGAACAACCGATCCTTTCAAATGTACCAATATGCAAGGGTACGGGCATAAATTGTTATTTGAATTTACTTTGATAACACGAAAAGCCACTTATTCAATTTATATCCTTTCCATTGATCCAGCTTGGGTGAAATAAAGAATGGTGAAGTAAAACTTTGATGGAGGGCCATATACGAATACAATAATTGTGTAACTGTTACTGGTGTACACGAAAAACTAACTATAATTTATATATGTCGCAGGATCACCATGTGGCGCTATAATTTGATTACAACACCATCTATTGGTAGCTCTCGGAAACGTCAAGGAGTGCGCTTGAGTAAGGTCGATACAGGAAGTGAGAGACTGGACTTGACGGTTATGAGTTGTGGAAGTCAATTGACATCGGATACGGGGGTGTGTTCTGGACGTGCTCAGGCACGCCACTTAGAAAAGGGACGGCGGTCTTAGAAAAGGAACGGTCATCTTCCTGTATCCAACTTGCTACGTTTCCATTCGGCAATTACATCGGCGTGGTTAATAATTATTTGATTTTAATCGAACAAGTAAATTACAATGAGGAATCTGACAACGAGTTGTCCTATGCGATCCACCTATCTCCGACATATATAACATATTTTCTTAATCCTACACCTGATATTGATATGCCTTTGCATTCAAAATATTCATACTCATGGAAGTGACATTTCGACTTACGAAAGATGCAAAGAAAAGAGTGTAAAACTCAGAGGACGATGCCCTAGAAATTTGAAGAAAGTGTATTGACCCAGATCTTTGGTATAATATGTACGATAGGCTAAAAGATGTATAGTCAAAAACAAAAGATTTTAAATTCGTGTTTCCTGCCTAAATCTCCGGGTGAAGATTCGGTCGGGCAATGCGAAATTATCAACGCTAAAACCTAACCCCAGAAGCTATAAAATTACAGCTGGTGTAAATCTGCTTTGCCTAGTTTCGAGTGCAAGAGTTCGACCTAGATCCGTGTTGTAAGTCTGAAGGGGGCATCGCTACTTTCGTAACACCTGTATCATTTCACAGAACAATAGCTTCTCCAATTCTAAAGACTCTTACAGACCTTGTATTCAATATGTAATCATGAATGTGAGACTATAAGATACCCATATAATTTGTAAATAATATATATCACTTTAATACGGCTCCAATGAAGGTTTGATAGAATTTTTATTTATGGAGTTGATGTCCTGTTATGTTTTTATTTCCTAATACGTTCTAAAGAGTAGATCTTTTCTCTTTTGTCGTCCAGTTTATTTTAAGACTACACTAATTGTCGTATTTTGTGTTGTGACAAGTCAACTTGCTAACACTCCCGTGTCTAAAACGTCGCTCTTCTTTCTTTTCACCAGGTTTTCAATTCCAATTTCAAGTGCCTCGTTTGGTGACTACAAGTTTGGTGTCTTATGTGTGGTAATAGCTTTGCGTGGTAACCACAGATGTAAACGACCACCACTCACCCTTTGTGGTAGATGCAGAGGCAGGGCAGGCGAGCGATGGTGTCGCCAGCCGACAGCTCCTCTAGACAGATGACGCATTCGCCCTTCGCGTCGCTCAGCACATCCTCTGTAATGGTCAAGTGACAAAGTTTCTCGTTTCATTCAGTACCAGCCAACGCCCAATTTCTAGTACCTCTTGAATCCGAAATTACGGTGGAATATTTTCAAATTTCAGTTTTAATTAATTCAAGATAATAAAAGAAAATGTATGAGTGGACAGCAGAATGCTTTATCATTAAATCGCACTTGTGCAATATATACCTATAATAGTTAAGAAAAGGACGTATAATGTAGGAATATTTTGGAAATAAAGTAATTTGTAATCAGCACTGAGGACGTCATCAACCTACTGTCTACTATTTTTTTTCTGCCTCAAATTAAGCACTGTATTTACTTATTATAGTGGAAGCGTTTAGCGATATATAACTGTGGTTGGGCCATACAACTCATGTCCACAGTTGCACTAACGGTCAGGTCCGTCCGGGTAAGTACCACGACTTCACAGGAGACCGACGTGAAGCGGAAGTGGTACACATTTGCGTTTCGTCTGTTAGTGCGGTAGCCGGGGCCCACTTTGTTAGAAGGTGGCGACCGTGGGCGGCGGTTATCACTTAGAAGCGATGCCGACGGCCCTCTTAATGTGTCAGACGTCACAATAGAATTCATAGCACTGATACCGAACATAGGATGGTGGTTTACTGACCATTGTAGGAGAGGCGCGGCCTCGTGAGGCACATGACCAGATGGCACTCGATGTCGTCGGGCAACACGAACTTACTGCAAACCGGGCATTTGATGCCTGCAACAGAGAGAGACAGCGCGTAAGCAAGAGTAGGTACTTGGTAATCAGTAACATAGGATAATCATAAACCGACTGTCGGGGAATTTGTTTTTTTTTATGTGAGAAGGTGGAAAGCGAGCTGACGGTTCATCTGATGCTATAACCGCCGCCCATGGATATGTGAAACACCGGGGTTTCTGATTGTAAAATTAATTAGAAATAATAAAATTAATTAGAAATCAATCTTTACGTTTCTGTTATAAATAATATGGTGCCTTTTAAAAAAGTAAAAAGTAAAGTAACAGCCTGTACATGTCCCACTGCTGGGCAAAGGCCTCCTCTGTACAGAGGGTATCAGGGCATAGTCCACCACGCGGCCTTACTGCGGATTGGCGGACTTCACATGTCTTCGAAATATTTTATTGTTATTATTTCGAAAATATGCAGGTTTCCTCACTATGTTTTCCTTCAACGCTGAGCACGTGATAAGTCAGCACTTAAAGATAAAAACTACATTGGTGCTGGCACCGGGGATCGAACAGGTTGCTCGAGTATATTGAATTAAAGGCGAGCGCCCGGACATTGAGCTATCGCGGCTTACGTGCCTTTTATACATTTCAAAATTTTCATTCATATAAATCTGTGTCAAATGTTTCTAGAAAGCACACGCCATCTAGTTTAAAACGTAACAACACGTTCTCTAGTGATTAATCGTAATATGAACACGGGTTCAGAACACTTTCAGGAGAAGTTAGTTCCAACGCAGTTGATACAATTTCTTCGCCGAATTATTCAATTCAATTACAGTGCTTTTGCAAACTATATGACGTAGAGTGATTTGACTCGACGAGAGGCGAAAAATACACTCCTTATAGCGAATAAGACCATATATGGGCGTTGTTAAGAGCTTCTTACATTTAATTTCTCCACTCCTTACGAAAACAACGTGAGTAAGAGTCTAAAATGAAATTAAAATGCCTTTAAAAGATAATAACAGTTTGCCTATAGACATTAGAGTAACTTTATTTTAACCTCTGTCGGAGTGACGTTGTCATTTCGGTAATATGAGGGAGACAATAGAAGAGCAAGCAGACTTGTCTGCGTTATATTCAGACAGTTTGAAAGCCGCAGGACATCACCGACATGTTTCGGGTCCATTCACGTCGCAGGCTGTCATCTGTCACTCAAATGGCCAATGAAACGGGGTCCATTGTACAATAGAATTGTATTTTGGACATTGTTTATTATGGAACCGTGAGAGATGTCGCCAAACGTTATTTGTATGAAAAAAATTTTACGGTGGTAGGGCCACGCGGCAGCCTCGGCTGTTGCACAAATGGGCAGGCTCGTCCGGGTAAGTACCACGACCTCACAGAAGACCGGCGTAAAGTGGAAGTATAATACTTTTGCGTTTCGTCTGGTGAGTGAGGTGGCCGGAGCCCAATTTGCAAAAAGGTTGTCAACGCATCTGCAAACCCACGGCTGTAGCAGATGTCCATGGGCAGCGGTAATCACTTAACATCAGGTGTCATTACTTAACCGTCTGCTCGTTTGGTAACTTTTCACATAAAAAAAAATCTCTTTTTTATTTCAAAAGTTCTATTTCGTTAATTATCATATATTACTTAGACGATTTTTTAGTATGTATTATAGCGACTGAAGCATACATAAGTTGTTAAATTGGTGGTTATTCTATGAATATCTTTTTAAACTAAACATTAAACGAGCAATTCTTTTATATCTATAAATTTCGTATTTCTTGGAAATGGCTTTAGAGATTTGGATAAAATTTTGTATTTCGATAACATTTTACTTATTAAGTTTATTTTTATAGGAGTTATTGCGATTTGAAAGAAAAAAAAATACAAATCGATAGAGGATTCTTTTAAGGTACCTCGAAACATTGTCAGATGGCGCTTCGATACAGTATCAGAATAAGAATGACCTTAATGAAAAGCGATTTTACAGAAAAAAAACCTGGAGAGATCAGCTGTCGATTGTCGAAAAGCAAAGGATGGGAGTCGACAAACAGGAAATGGTGGTGACATGTCATATATGCCAACGGCATACGCAGATATATCACAGCTTACAACTGACTATGTTTGCATGGACTCTGCATCCCGATCTCCACTCATAAACTGCACGTACAGCATTCTCGTTTCCATCACGCGTCGTGTTCCTACTCCGAATTCATTGGGTAAACTTTACACGGCAATGTATCTCGCGCCCGTTGCTAACAGCGATAAACTCCGTCGCATTACAGGCAGCTAATGGCCCGAAATGACGAAAACAAATCGTCTCGCCAGAGCCGCCGACTGCTCAGTGCGATTAACGACGAAAGCTTACTCGCTACAGGGTGATTTTATAGACGGCGGACATATTAACAGAGCATATGCAGAATTTGATTCTAAATCTGAATCTGGTACGTACTTGTGACCTCATTTGTTTCAAACATTATTTTTAATTTTTTCAAACATTATGGACACCCTATCAGAAATTCCGGCCTTACCGACTCAATACAATAACCTATTCACGACCACTAAAACTGTTCGCTGAACGCATAATTACTTAACCGCTTATCTATAGGGTGACCACTCTTAACGGGATAAGCTATGGTGTTTTTCTATTTTATGGTTATTTCTTGTGAAGTAAAATATTAATATTTGTTTTATTTATGGAATTCTGAATTAACATTATGTATGTACTTCGTCTAAAACTCGCATAAAGACTATAATGGCATACATCGATAGGGTTCGATTCTCACCGATCTCGTCTCTCCCTGATATAAGGGCGTAAGTTCCGACATTGGCGGAGGAAACAATTAATTGATGGCTGTCGCATAAATACTATTGCCCGTTCGTTTTATTTTATTACACAGCAAATGGAGTGTTATAAAAGGCTAAGTAATATAAAAACGAGGGATGAGTGAATAATAACAGATAAATCTGCTTTTCAAATGCAATATACACCTTTATATATGTATAATTGTTCTGTGCGTGTGTATGTCACTGAGTTACTCGTAAACGGCTGGACGGATTAATGAATTTTTTTGTGTCTTCAGGTCGATTAGAGAATGGTTTATATTCACAATTAGGTCCACTACAATTATTTATTTATAAGTTGTCGGAGTTAGGGCATGTGTACAGGACAACTTCTAACATCCGCTAGTTTATAAATAAAGATATCTATGTCATAGATAGGGAAGTCCTTTCCCTTTTTGAAGTCAAATGAGTTGAGTGGACGAGAGAACGAAATGAGTTAAACATTTTGTAACTCTAAATCTGCTTCGGTTTCGACCACTAGCGTTGACACGGCAATATCTCGATCGCAAGGTCAAAGCGTCATTTACGGTATCAAAGTGTTGCGTGTAACAGTCAAATTTTGCATGTACCAAACGATTTATTGCGTACGTTTTCAATCTAGAAACGTTCGCACGTTGCGCGCTCGTAAAACTGGCTGTTCGTTGGACGTTTGAGCGATAAACGTGCCGGCGGCGACGCTGTTTTTCGGCCGTCGTGGTCGGACAGTTGCGGGAGTTGTCGACGAACTAGGGGGGACGATGGAATAGGTATCCATGTCTGCAAACGTGTAAGAGCTTTTTTGGGATATTTATTTTTACTTAGATTTAATCATATTTAAAAAATGCACGCACAAATATCTGCAGAATGATTTAGCGGTCTATATCAACGTAATATTGTAATGAAAGTAATCGTTTCGCTCATTAAATAGAGTCAGGGATGAATTCGCCCCTCTCTCTTGCTTAATGGTTTAACATCAGATTGTCGATAGATTTCTTTGTGTTTACCCGCCTTTGGTGGAAAGGAGACTTACTAGTGAAAATTCTTGTTACAACTCAACCTAATTGGAGTAGGCGCTTATCTCAAACAGGATTGGAAGTAAAAGCAGATACTTTTCCAATTTTGACGAGAGTATTTAGGGTCGTTAGCGTGTAAATATGATGGGAACGTATTCATCGTGTAACTGCCAACTGAAAATACATAAGGATTTTAAAAGTAACAAACATCCATACGTCCATACATAAAAACATTCGCGTTAATAATATTAGTAAGGATAACATTACTAATATTATTAATGCGAAAGTTTTTATGTATGGATGTTTGTTACTTTTTCACGCAAAAACTACTGAATGGATTTTAATGAAACTTTACAATAGTATAGCTTATAATCTTCTGAGTATAAGCTATACTATTGTAAGTTATAGATTACACATAGGCTATAATTTATAAAAGGGTCTCTCAAATTAACTCTGTCCGCCTTCACATAACCGCAGGACCTTTGTTGAATTTTCTTATAAAAATAGATAGGACCTTGGAGAAGAAAATAAGCTACTCGAAGTACTAATCCTGCGCAGACGAAATCGTTGGCACCGTCTAATTCACACATATAGGGTAGCGATCCATTGAACCCCGCCACTGAATCATTTTCTGCATGGCACCGCCGTTTGCTAAAGTTCCGCGGGCTTGTATCTCAACCAGCCACCTTCACGCTCTGCAGAATTTGCGCGCTGGTCTGCCTGGTGGCGGTGTCATCGGTTGTGCGGCGGACGAACGGGACGGTTAACTGCCCGATTGCGTGCAGAAGGTGCCGGGCGGGCGAAGACCACAGCGCGCTCCTGGAGGTCTACTGCGCCATGTGCGAGGAGTGCAGAGGGAGACGCCGCCAAATGGTCGACGAGGGAATCAACGACGCGAGACACCGAGCCAGCAAAGAAGGTGCGCCAAATTCGGAATCACTTTATCTGATTTATCAAATAAAGTGTGGTGTCGTTTGAGCACTACAGTACGAATATAGGGACTCGTTTCATGTTAAAGTGACAGCATATACGAGTCCCACTGCTAGGCAAAGGCCACCTCTGTACAGAGGGTATTGGGGCATAGTACACCACGCAACCCGATTGCGAATTAGCAGACTTCATAATGCTTCATGTATCTTTGAAATATTTTATAATCGTTTCGAATATTTGCAGGTTTCCTCACAATGTTTTCCTTCACTACTGAGTACGTGATAATTCAGTACCCATTGGTGGTTAACTCATTGGTGCTGGCAACGAGATTACAACTCAGGTTGCTCGAGTATATTGAATAACTGAATGAGTATATTGAATTGACTGAGTTCGATCCCCGGTGCCGGCACCAATGAAGTTTTTAAGTGCTGACTCATCACGTGCTCCGCGGTGAAGGAAAACATCGTGAGGAAACCTGCATAATTTCGAAATAATAACAAAAAAAATATTTTTCGAAGATATGTGAAGTCCGCCAATCCGCAGTGGACACAGTGGCATGGTGGACTATGCCCTGATACCCTCTGTATAGAGGAGGCCTTTGCCCAGCAGTGGGACATGTATAGGCTGTTGCTTAACTTTTCTTTTTTTATTTTTTAACTTTAAATGAAGCATTAGGTACAATGCACACATGACCAATATAGACAGGGATTAGATGAAGGTTCAAACTTCGCTAGAGTTTTCTACGTAGAAAGTTTAATAAAGAATAGTGCAGCAACATTTGTGTTATTTCACGGACCATCGGCCCGTAATGGCATTGACCGGTGTGAACTAATTACACCTTTGCCCGACAGTGAGACATTCATTGTACTGCATTTAAGATTACGAAGCGGACTGCCCGGCGCCGCCGCCCTGCGATACCGACGTCGAGGATGCGATCGTCCCGCTAAAGACCACCGTCGCCACGACGACCACCGAGACGACCACGACCACGACCACGACCACGACCACTCCGTCCACGACCACGAGACGGCCGTGCCCGCCGGTGGCGGAGTGTAAGAAGCGAAAGAGGCCGCATGCGCCAATGGCCTGCTGTCTACCAATGTGCGCTTACCCACCAAGCTGCCCCGAGACGAGTCAACAGCTGACGGCTGCCTACACCACACCGTCCACACCAGAGACGACGACCAAGGACTATTTCTACGCGTACGTCGGGGTTCCGAAAGACCTCCTTCGACGATAGACCGACCGAGATCTGTATTGTTTCGGCATTAACAGGTCTACTGTGTGGTTACATTTGTACGCTAAGGTGCAACAGGAGATGTTGAAGTGTTATGTTAACAATTGTTATGGGTACCCTACCCAATGTAAATAAACCGATAAAATATTTTATTGCTACATACATAGTTGCGAAATAAGAAATCGCCTAGCACATTTATTGGCATATTTAAAAAAATATACATATACAAAGAGAAACGCCTAACGCCAAACGCCTTATCGTTACAGAGTAAACAGGAAGAGAAGTCATACGCCCGGTTTCTGAAACACTGATCTTGGTAGAGATTAACTATTCAGTTATTTGAGTTGCCATAAGGATGTTTAAACTCTTTGAATTGATCATTCTGAGTTTAACCATCCTTTTTGCAACTCAAATGATATTTGATAAGCCATTTGACAGCTGATTAGTTCATTTTTACGATGATCAGTGTTTCAGAAACCGGGCATCAATCGCACAAAATACGAAAAGTGACTGAACGGTGGAACTGACCAACTGAGTTTTTTGTTCGAATCATCTCACATTTACGGCGACGAGCTCGACGCCTGTCACCTTCTGGATTGCATTGTCTCTTTCTAACTCTTAAGATGTGAGCATTTGTGCTTAGCGAATATTTAGTGGAACATAAATATTATAAATATACTTTAAAACATTTTGGTTTTCGTAGAGCCGTCGCAAGCGTTTCTAGAAACTAGTCCAATGTTAACGGATTTTTTTTTCACAACGCCTAATTTAATTTTGCAAAAATTGAAAGAAAATTTAATTCGTTAAACGTAAACGCCCAACGGGATGATAATTGCGTAATTACGGTCTGAGACAGTTAAATATCTTTTTCGATTAGGCCCGACGATTTCTTTCAATTAATTCTGTTTCTCGAAAATTTCACTCATCGCCAGGGCCAATTAATACATTGCAATTGTTTAAATTAGCCTAGAGGCAGTCATAAATAGCATTCAATTAATATATTTGTCAAGTTCAATCTCAAACATTAAAACTAAACTCGATGAATAAACGAATTTAATGCTCTTCAAGTGTTGATTGACGGTTCTGGATGCTATCATAAGAGGGTTTGACTGAGTCTGTAATGGGCGAATATGTTGATGACAGCAAGATTTTGGTCGCTCAAAGCGATACCAAGTGAGTTGACGTTTTGTGAATGTTTCTTTTACAAGAAACTTACCATGAATCACGCGATCATTTTGATGTATTTAACTCAAAGTTTGACTAACAGCATTTGCGACCATTAACATACATAATCATGGTATAATCTATTTATTTATTTTTTAGATGCGCCAAGCATTGCTTCAAATGCTAAATAACAATGTAGAAAGAAGGCGTTAAGATTTTCGTCGCTGTGGCTATCAGCCGTTTAGCTCAGTGGCTAGAGCGTCAGGCCGCGAATGCCGAAGACGTGGGTTCGATTCCCACAGCGGCGACAATCTTTTCGTACTTTTTCTACATGTTTTGTTCAATGTTCAATCTTTTAAAAATTTATGCAATGAGTTCGAATTAGCGATATTCGAAAAAAAGGAATTTTGCTTCAAAAAATTAGAAAGAAGGCGTAAAAAGTCGCAAGCCGTTTAGCTCAGTGGCGACATCTCTCGTTCGAATTATCGTTGTAAAACGATATTCGAAATTGGTTGTATGCTGGAAAGGATATCACAATAGATGCGCCAAGCATTGCTTCAAATGCTAAATAACAATGTAGAAAGAAGGCGTTAAGATTTTCGTCGCTGTGGCTATCAGCCGTTTAGCTCAGTGGCTAGAGCGTCAGGCTGCGAATGCCGAAGACGTGGGTTTGATTCCCACAGCGGCGACAATCTTTTCGTACTTTTTCTACATGTTTTAGAGTACAAGTGTTTTAATACAGATGTGAATTACTTTTACGTAACGAGAAGGAAAATTTGACAAAACCAACATATATTTAAATAGAAAAAGCCGAGTGGAATGGCTCTGCCGTAGAGATACCTTACATGTAGCCGTAGATGGTAGCTCTGTCGTGTTTGTATGTCACAGTGGTTAAAAATCGCGCCCAAAAAGCGATACCTACGTAAGTCGGATTTGAACGGCCGTATCATGGCCACCAAAAATGTTCGGAAAATAGCAAAATGTATCTGCGTCCATTACATTATTATTTTTAATCATCACAAGACATTTATTCACACAACGATATCTAGTTCCAAACTAAGCAAGACTTGTACTGTGGGAGGCTGATAAGCATGCCTTCCTTTTTAAAGAAAAATACTTTTTATCAATATAAGTATCCAAACACTAGAAATATTATATTTATAACAGAATATTTTTTTCAATAGTTGAGATCGGACACATCCAGCGCAAGACAGGCTCATTGTCCACTACATACAGCGTGTCGTTGCAACCGCGACAATAAATGAACATACTTCTGACGCTACTTGCCAGTAATCATAAAAAATATAAAACGTTAAAAATAGAAACAAAATTTGTAACATCCTATACAACTACAACTGACTGATTCATACATTCAGACACTTTTTCATTCGTCGCATTACAAGTCTCTCCTTCTAACAGGAAGTATATTTTATCTCTTTTAAATTCAATCAACCCATTCATATGATTTGTGACCTTTACAAATGAACTTTATGTTACAGTTTTATACGTAGGGGTGTTCTAAAAATGTTTGTTTTGTAAAATTTAATAACTCTTTTTAAATTTGATGTTTAAGGAATGTAAATGCTTAATACAATTTAAAAAAGTTACCCTCTATATGTGTGTTCATTTATTGCGCGGTTGTAACGACACGCTGTATATGGAAGCTTAATAACTTTTAAACAATTACTACATTTTTATGTTTACTGATCATCATAGATCGAAGACCAGTTATCTATATTGATATTTAACGACCGCAAAGCGTCGTGTAGTTTCTCGATTTCAATCAGAGTAGGTAAAGGACATTAAAATGATGAAAGCAGACAATCGCACTCACGATTCCAATACACAGAGTGCTAATCACGTTTACGTTGATACGCCATATAGACCCGCACGCGATCGTAGTGTGGCGTTAAAATTGTTTTTAACAGCGACCTATGAAAAACTATGCCCTATAATTACGGTCCTATTGGCTTAGTTGTGAAGACATCGGCTTCCTGCCGCGGGTAATGGGTGCGATATCGCAAGGGTAAGTATTTGTACGATATACAGACGATTGTTCGGATACAAGTGTCGTAAAATTTATATATATGCATGTTCCGAAGAAGGGTTCACGTCAGGAAGACGGCCTTAAAAAACCAATCCGATATTGCTAACATAATTGACATGTTGTGTGTGCATCCAAATTTCATGTTGTGTGATGATTCCTAAATATTTACAAAAGAAACGGCTAGAGAAAGGAAAAAATTTAACGAATAAAACAAGCTGACTGTGATTATTATTATATAATAAGAATAATAGAATTTGTAAACGCGTGTTATAGTATGTTATTCTCTTTCAAGAGGACTATAATATATATTATACATATTTTATTGCCAAATAATTGGTAACACAAAATTGTCCCGCCGAGTTCCTTTCGCCAGTTCTTCTCAGGTCAGTGGCTTATCTTTTCCGAAACGGTAGCAATATTTTGGCAATGAATAAGTAAGTGTAATGCTTCTATATTGAATAAAGATTAATATTATAATTAAAGAGGGCCAGGCAGTTAATAACATTAGCAGCCAAAATAGGGGCGATCCACTGAACAAAGTAATGAATGCGTGTATTACATGGACGCGGAAAGATTATAAATACAAATACGTATACAATCGAATATGTTTTCCTTGTACAGCATAAGCGACGTAATAAGGAAGAGTTTGTCCTTAAGTACAGTCGCGCGAATAAATATATATGGTAAACTGGATGAATAATTTATTGTAGGTAATTTTCCGATGCAGTGGAAACGTGCTGTACACTCGGTTGGTTCACTGGTTATACTTTTACACGAAGTAACCGTCTAGCCAGTGAACCAACTGACCGAATCACAAAACTGAGTAGACTATTACTTCAATACTTGACTAGTCAAACACAAAATTTATGTGAGTCACATACACGATGAAACAAGACTGCTAGTATGCGTTGCGCAAGTCTTTGTTATTCTTTTGAGTTGGTCGTTTGCGAGAATCATAATGTAATTCCTGTTCGGAAAAGTGTAAAAAAAAAATATTTCGAAGATGTGGGTTCGCGCGGTAGACTATGTCCTAACACCTCTGCACGAGACCTTTGCATTGCAGTGGGACATACATAATCTGTTAGTTTTCTTTTCACTTTAAAGTGTTAAAAGTTACATAAAAGTATTGCGTTAAAATTTTTACATTGCAATTAAAGTATTACATTGGAAAAATTAAGTATTTATCAGTTGTTAGGTCACCCCCTAAATCAAGTTCAACATAAAGATTTCTACTAACATAAAGAGGTACGCTGGATAATTGAATAATCTTTACAACCACTGAACCGTTTCTGAAACTTTTCCATAAAAGAAATACTTCATTTTCCTTGAGTAGGATAGGATTCATTTTCTTTAAGTGAAAGTAAGTCAATACTTACTTTTATTTTATTTTTGTCAATACAAAGATATAGCATATGTAGTTCGCGTCAGAAAAAGTGATATTGTTTAAATTTATTTCAGACAGTTTTTATTCTGTTTATCCTTTTGAGGCACTTTCGTCCATTAGTTCACTCATTTAGAACCAGCACAAAACACAGTGTCTTAATATACAATTTATTTTTCTGTCTAAAGATAATATATAATAGAGTTGCCAAAAAATTAGCAGAAGCCTTCCAATTAAGAGTCATTACCATAGTTCTGATCCTCGATGCACTGTTGAACAGCATAATACGCCTCTTCAATTAAGGTTGTTTTGACTCCGTCACATACTGGCCTAATTTTATAGTTGCCATAATATGTCAGACTTATAGGGTAAAACATTACAATGTAAGTTAATTAGCATTAACATTTATATTCAGTAAGCCGTGATGCGGTAAATTTTACGAGTCTTTTATAATTTAATATATAAAATTCTCGTGTCACGGTGTTTGTAATTGAACTCCTCCGAAACGGCTCGACCGAATTGTGTGAAATTTTGTGTGCATATCGGCCAGGGTGGAGAATAGGACAAGATCTATTTTTCAACCCCCTAAATATGGTCCACCCCAAAATTTTTTTCTACCCTACTAATAATTTATATGGCAAAACAACGTTTGCCGGGTCAGCTAGTAATATATAATAATATCCTTTCAAAATTACGATTGTCATAATTTGCGTTCTCACTACGACTGCGGTAAGGGACTACGCTGCAGTTTGTGCAGTTTAACTTGTTACACGAAAGGGTCCAATCGGGAGAGTACCACGGTCACATGCAAGACTAGATTGAAGTGGAAGCTTTTTGCCTCGTAAGGGACCGGGCCCATTGTTTTAAATGTCGGCAACGCGTCCGCAAATCCACGAGAGTTGTGGATTTCCATTGACAGCGGTGATCACCTGTTATCAGTGCATTGTCTGCTTGCTCAAGCAGCCAACGTCGCGTTGGAGTGGACCGATGATCAAGGACCTTGTCATATATTTCTTCCCTACACTTGTGCGTTTCCTCTGGTGTGTGAGGTAGCCGGGGCCCACTTAATTAAAAGGTAGCCTAGCAACGCATTGCAACCCCAGCGCTCGGTTTCTGAAACACTGATCATCTTCGGTCTATTCTACGGTGGTAGGGCCACGCAGCAGCCTCGGCTGTTGCACTAATGGGCTGGCTCGTCCGGGTAAGTACCACGACCTCACAGAAGACCGGCGTAAAGTGGAAGTATAACACTTTCGCGTTTCGTCTGGTGAGTGAGGTGGCCGGAGCCCAATTTTCAAAAGGTTGTCAACGCATCTGCAATCCTCGGGTGTAGCAGATGTCTATGGGCGGCCATATCCACTTAACATCAGATGAGCCGTCTGCTCGCTTGACAAATTTTCACATAAAAAAAAATCGTAGAAGTCAACTAATCAGCTGTCAAATCGACTTTAAAATGTATTTGATTAGCCAAAAGGTTTGTTAAACTCTCTGAATTGATCAGAATGATCTTCTTAATGATCAGTTCAATGCTTCAGAAACCGGGCTTGAGTGTTGTAAATATCTATGGGCGGTTATCACTTAACATCAGGTGAACCGGCAGCTCGTTTGCTACCAAACCCGTACGCTGGGTACATTTAAGTAGATCTAATATAAGACGTGCGGACGAAGAGCGAAATCGCGACGAGCCGAAAACGACGGCGCGGACAATGGGCGCCGTTTCAATTAAACCCTACGTGGCAGGCTTTAACGAAGAGCCCAGCGACCATTTGCCATTGTGCCAACGGACGGCGCGTTCCGTTTGTGAAACATTAACATTCAGCATCGAGGCCTAATGGGCGGGAGAAACGATTCCACCCAAACGTTCACACCTAATATCGCTTCGTATCGAAATGTCTAAACTCAGAGGACAGATAGTTTATCTTGGGATGCTGTTTACACAAGTTGCGCATCCTTTCATTATTTTCACTTTAATTAAAAACCAGAGATTGCTAATGTTGTATTCGTGTTGTAAGGTCCCAAAATGAAAGATGCTGAACGCAATTTGAAAGAGCTCGCGATTCCGTTCACCAAATTACTAGCTGACTCGTATAAATTCGTACACACTTTGTTGTGTTTTAGAGTAATATGTCACACTTCACAGTAATGGAATAAAATGGACGAAACAGCACAGGGTAATAATTAAGGCACAGATAACAATTACAAATCGTGGATGAGAATGTTTATATATTATACTATGAATGTTGACATTGCTTACATCCACAGATATTATTTCATGAAACGCGTTTACCCGTTACATGTTAATTGTATTGTATATATAAGTCTATATAACATAAATGAAGTTACTTTTAACGGATTTTATTGGATTCTCATATTATCGGCATGTATTAAGTTAGTTTGTCGAGTTATCTTCAACAAAAAGTAAAAGAAAAGTAAAGTAACAACCTATACTTATCTCACTGCTGGGCAAAGGCCTCCTTCTCACCACGCGACCCCACTGCGGATTGGCGGACTTCACATATCTTCGAAAATATTTTTTTTGTTATTTCGAAAATATGCAGGTTTCCTCACGATAATTTCCTTCACCGTTGAGCACGTGATGAAGTCAACACTTAAAATTAACAATTTCATTGGTGTTGGCACCGGGGATCGAACTCAGGTTGCTCGAGTAAATTGAATTAAAGGCGAGCGCCCGGACACTGAGCTATCACGGCTCATTCTCAACAAATTAAAATATAAATAATAAATGAATTATGTCGTCTACGGTAACGTAATAAATAACAAAAAGGTCGAAGTATTCTTTACTGAACAATAAATGGTTTCTGCTAATTTAAAGTTACGCTTGCCCGTAACATTGCAAATGATTTTCTGTAATCAAATTCAATGGCGGAAGAAAAATATACGAGGCCACACGCATATTTGATAGTTCACTAAAAAGTGATCATTAATTACTTCCATGACTCCCCATTAGTTATGTCTATTTACTTATTGTGAATGCAAATAATTTTGAGAGAAAAAAAAACTGAAATTACGAAAATAAATTCGCTAAATGTGTCCGAATCAATCATGAATACCATTCGTTTTTCGCGAAACAACATTTTTACGAAATTAAAAACTTGACGAAAACGACAAGGACGAAGCCAGGACGAGCACGCTAGTGATGTATATATTAGTTATAAATTCACTTAAATATTTGTCGAAGACTTAACTACACGGAAGGGGGTTGACAAACGTCAAGGGTTTACTAAGCCCTTGGCGACACTGTTCATTGTTTGGATGAGGTAAAGGGGCTTATCTTCGCAAATGTAGCAACAACTATTATTATCTTACGGAAGCCTCCACAAACGTTGTCCGCCCCTTTGTCAGCCACTTGTGCGAAAGATATCTGCGAATCCTTAGAATAGACCACTTCGAATAGACGACCGTCATCGAGATATCAACGCAATTAAGGCTTCGTGTAGAAAAAAAAACGGCACGGAACGAGTCTAGAACAATGAGGTATGCGGGGCCCTGCGACGCCGGTGGCGGTTTTAAGGTCAGCGCGCTTAATCATCGCGGACAATGTGAACGATATTAATGACCGCCTGTCTGACGGCGCAATTAAAAAAACTATAATCTAGGAAAACAATCGCGTCATAGTGGCGATATTAAATCTCCCAAGGGAAATCAACAAGTGAGACGATGCTCGCCCGGTAGATCCGAGGGCGACAATTCGAGTGGGATGCAACAAACGATTTTAGCGTCATTCAAACAATTTTTCCTTGAAACCTTGTCCGGTGTTCGGCAACATCTTTAAGTGTACGGTGAAAAAAAAATTCCTAAGTATCTCTCTCTCTACAGGGTTCCATCACCAAAAAAAAACATTTTCGCATTGTATAAAGAGACACCGGTCGCACATTGGTGCTCGCTGTTCGAAGACTATCGTAGTGTACATCCCTTGGGTCATTGACTGAAGAAATCGGATTACTTCTAAGACTACATCCAGAATATTTACCGTACAGTATCCGGCGCGGGGGTCTCCTCGTCTGGGCGCCGTACGCGGCCGCGTCGGGCTCCGCGTCCGGCACGCACGTACCGATTATGATGCCCATTCTCGACATACCACTCCGCACTGGTACGGAAGCGCCGCGGTACCACAGCACCGAACACTGATCGCCGACTTGTACGTACTCACTCGCGGAGTTCAAGAGCGCCGCACTATCATCGTCTGCCGTTCGTTCGGTACGTTGTCTGTCTGTTGTCATGCACTGTGTTGTTTGTGTGTTCGCGTTGATCGATTGCGGGGTACTGGTGGTCGGCGGTGGTCGGTCCGGCGCGGCGGGCGGCCGGTGACGTCACGAGTGCGTCACCAGCCCACGAACGGGGCCGGAGGACAGTGGCCGGAGTACATTAGTGCCGATTGGCGTCGCTTGGCGCAGGCCAGGACCGGGAGAGGTGTACGGACGGCCCACTTGGCATGCGTTGCCGGTGTCGTGTCCGGAACACGTGTGAGCCACAACAACACACGACACGGTTTCCGAGGACCCAATCTGTTGGGGCGATGCGGAAGTTGATTTTCGCTCAAGCGCTATCCAAATGCGGCTGAGATTGATAATAATAATAATATACTTTATTGTACACCAAAAGATCAAGATGAAAAAGTACAAAAAACAAAATATTGATGAATATCATAAACGTATTATGAATGTAACCGGCCTTATAAATATGTATTTAAATTATAATTAAAGATTTTACTTCCATAAACAACTCTCGAAGGACCGACGAAGTCTTTCTACTCTCGTCGATAGCGAAGTTCTGATGTTTTTTGATGTCCTAATATATCGCCTGATCATTTAAAATAAATGCCTGTAGTAAAATTAATCCGAAAGTTATTCTTTTTTAAATTTCAACTAAAATGCACATTTTGAATAGGCCCAACCACTACATCAGGTTTGACAAACCACAGATCCTTGCAAAAGAACACCGATTCCTCCCAAGGATGATTCGCGAGGCTATTGAAATTAAAAAACACCCTAATTTCAATAGAGAAGAAGGTTGGGTACTACCATGCTTGGGAGTAAAAAAATTAATCTAGGCCCAAAACGAACCACTACTGCAAGACAAGATATTTCCCTCTGCATAGATCGGACACACAAAATTAATTCAAAAACTGAAAGCCCGGGTTTCAACAATCAGACGTCTAACACCTCAGTCTGTCCCGTGACCATGAACGCTGTAAAGGGTTTGAAACGTCAGGAATTAAAATTAAAAATAAACGCGATAAATCCGTAAAATTAGTTTCTCATTAAATTTGTATCAGAAGGTATAATGTGTAATCCGTCGGATACAAGAAATTATTATAAAATGTCCTTCTTACTATTTATCTAAAATCAAAATTATCTTCCTCGGAAGCATTGTTCTAATGTATTTTTTCATCGATTAGATGCTTAAATGGTAGTTTAAAAAAGATATAAATTTTGTATTATATTGATATTAATTTTTGTTTGAGATTTCGAGGAGAAAATTATATCCTTCCACATAATAACATTATACCGTTAAGCAATTTGATTAATTTCACCGACAACTTGTTCGTCAACACAGCCGCTACTTAATTAATATATTTAAAGAATTAGTTGCTCGAAATATCACTATTGTGTAATTTATCCTTCCGCTGACAAATAGTGGTCATTATAAAACACGCGTGCTTTTGTATAGCACCATGATTCAACCACTCCATGCCCATGTTATATTTTATGTGTGACAAATTCATATTTAGTGGTGTTACTAATAGCGCCTAGCGCTTGATAAAATTCACATGGGCTAGTAAATGACAAATGCGTATGTTACGAACGAAAGAAGCATGTGTAAAGTAAAATAAACAAGTTTCTGTTTGTTTCGTTACACTGATAGAACTAATACTAATGCTACTAACATTATTCTAGTATAACATTGATTATGTTTTGATCTGTTTTGTGTATGTACATATACTTAGATTTTATTAAGATAACAGACAACGTAATTTATAAGTTAAGCGTATACTTAAGGTTCGTTTGTAATGATCATTTCAATTATTTTATAATGTTATTATGTTTATGTTTGTGCTTTAATTGTAAAATATACCTTTACATAACTATATCACTGTGTTATATCTATATATGTGAAATGAATAAGTAACTATAATGAATTAGAGGAAATGTCACCTAATTTCAAAGCAAGGAGGACCATACGACACTTGAGTGAAGACATTCTTGCAAAAAAAGTGCTATTTCTACAAATCTACGAATTACCACGTCAAACAAACATTTCCCAAGGGGCGGCGTGTATAAACTGTGCTTGCGTTACAGCGCGAATAAGTAAAGCGTGTTCAACGCAACGTAAAACCATCTTAAAACCACGAACGCGAAAATAAACAAGAGTAAAAGTGTGGCAGCAACACCAGAAGCACTTTCCCAGATTGAATCGGAAAAGTGGCGGGGCCCATTAGTTAAAAAGTTCCTGACGTCAGACCGCCACTGTGACGGGTGACCGCGTTTCTATCATTCACTTATTTAGCTTTCACAGAGTTATGTTTTAGGTTGTTATCGTAGCCCATTGTCTTGTACTGTGTGGGGGCACCGTAGTCTTCGTTGTAGCACGAATGGGCAGGACCGGGGCAGTAAGTACCACGACCTCGCGGAAGACCGGCGTAGTGAGGTAGCCGGGGCCCACTCAAGCAAATGTCCATGAGCGTTAGTTCTCACTTAACATCGGACTCATAAACGACGAAGTTATCCGCGAACACATATAAAAAAAATATAAAAATATATATGGTCGAATTGAGAAACCACCTCCTTGAAGTCGGTTAAAAAAGGTACCGTTTGCACCTGTTATTTAGAATTCTAGACTTGTTTTAGAATTCTTTTCTATAATTCTTTTCTATAATTCTTTTCTTTCTTTTCTATTGACTAAAAAAAAGAAATATAGATTAAACACAGATTATAAATACAGCGAAAAATGCAGGTAATGCGCATGGAAAAAACAAACAGCAGAACTTGTGAATTTTTCAAACAAAAAAGTGCTTGTTTCAATATCGAAGCTGACGTGGGGACCAAAATTCAACAACATTGTTCTATACAAAAAACAAAACCATCGGTTTGCACTCGGCAAAGCATGTTTCTAACAAAGCAGTTTGAAGCGTACCATATAAGTACAAAAATAATCAACGTTGTTAATCTAAAGGCTTACACAGAGTTAACAACTACTAGACGCAGAATTGAGTTGCGCTGTTTTCAACAGTAATAATTATGAGTAAATAGAAACAATAGCGAACACACAAAACATCATTTGGCCGATCACATTGGCTTAGTGGGTAGTGTACCTGCCTCTTGCGCCAGAGGGTGTGGGTGGGGATCGACCCCACCACTGGTGAAATATTGTGTGATGAACATGGAGTTTTTCCTGTGCCTGTGTGTTTATATATTTATAATATGTATTTATTTTCATAAGAAAAGTATGTTTCAGTGTGTTTATCAGTTATCTAGTACCCATAGTACAAGCGTTGCTTAGTGTGGGACTAGGAAACGTTGTGTAAAAATGTGTCCCGAAATATTTATTTAAATACAAAACTGCAAATACCACCCCTTGGATTTCAAAGGTGGTGCGATTGTTATGGGTCCCAGGTGGCAGTATCGCGTGCGTACAATCAGTGTCGACGGGACAGTAGACGGCGTCGCGACGCCCTTGAAAATGGACGACCACTGTTGCCACACCACCATCGTTACACCGCTAATGGATGCCGGTCACGAAAGCCTCGGGAGCGACTTGTTGATCTCCGTGTGAATTCTAACGGAGCGCGTAAGACGACCTTGTAAAAACGACCCAAATAACATCTATTCAAGCGAATAATGCATATTGACAAAACGAAAATAAACCCCATACCCCCTCTTTTCAAATTCATCGCGATAACATTAAAAAAATGGGTTCCCGTATAACAGCCTATGTACACGAGCTTAGAAATAGAAAAGGATGTAGGAATTAAAATGTTATTTTCATCAATATTTTCACCCGTGACGCAGGTTCGATTCCAGTGCTTTCGCTGTAGCCCAAAGGAGGTAATGTTTTTCGGGGATATGTATATACGTTTGTCTAATTCTTTGGCACGTTGTACTTCTCACTCATGCTCTCGAGTGATTTCAACTTATGATTCCTCCCAGTTTTAAGTATTGTCATGATATAGAATACTAGCTGACCCGGCAAACGTTTTGCCATATAAATTATTTTTAGAGTAGAAACAAATGTTTGGGGTGGACCACCCTTAACATTTAGGGGGATGAAAAGTAAATGTTGTCCGATTCACCACCCTGGCCGATATACACACAAAATTTCACGAAAATCGGTTGAGCCGTTTCGGAGGAGTTCAATTACTTTTTTATATTACATAATATTATTGTTGTAATAATGCTATCGCAAAAAAAAGCAATTGTGGTATGGTTAGTATTTTTAATGCAAATCAATTTTCATTTCATGATTGGTTTCATTTTATAGTTCATGCTTATTTCATTTGCTGGGGACAAAGGTTTTTGTTTTTTTTATGTAAAAAGTTGCCAAGCGAACAACAAAGGTAATAAATAGCTCCATGTCCGTCCGTCGGACATGGAGCACGTGGTGGGCCCTTGACTTGAAAGCTAGGAACATTCACTGCCTCTGTCTACCTAGTTGAGCTTAAAGGCGTGAAAGATTGTGTTGCATAGGCGAAGTGCACAGCCTTGAAACGTCATTACATATCTGTTCGGGTATTTTTCATTAATTGCTACTTCACGTGACTAACATAAATGGCAATTATTAGTTAGTTGTTTAAGCTAGCTGAAGATTTCGAGAAGTTCTCCAGTATTCAGAATTTTTTTTTCGATGAGTGAGTTATCAAATTGAAAGCGATTTAAATTATAAAACTTGGATACTATAAAATTGTAAAACAAATGTTACCGAGCACAAGTGTAAATAAAGAAAAAAGCAAGAAATGTTTTTAAGTCTTGTTTCTATAAATTTAAAGTGTAGAGAATCCCGCAGCGCCGAAAGTGATTATCGATTTTTGTATTTACATAAATTCACATATTAATTTGTAATCTTGAGCGCAGAGACTAGCGCTAAAATAAGATTAATCATAAAACAAGGTTCCTACTTTGCGAGCGACCCTAAAAAAGTTTTCCTACTTCGATATTTTCAGTGATTCAATTCGCGTATGAACATGATCCAATAGCAAAATGGTTATTGTGTTACAAGGAGAAAGACATAAAAATGCGGCCATCGGAAGGGAAACATTTCGACGATATAAAGAAGGAGCCATCAGTAGTAGGTAATGCGACCGCAAGCCGATTATGATCGCGTCGTAAGTTGAAGGTCTTCTTAAAAGGCACGGCTTTACCTCGGAGTCGAAGCGCTACTCGTTATTTTAAATATCAATGATATAAACTATATAGCTGTCGATGACAACTTAACAGTTATTTTAGAGCTATGATGTTTTCGCTGATTGATTTTATTATTTAAACATTAAATCATTTAGATAAGAAACGCACGGGATCGCAATAATTATTAAGGAATCGAAACCGTGGCATTCGGCTCCAAAACATCCAACTTTTCGTAACTACGCAAACGGTGTCACCAGACCTTTCTTAATGAATTTGACCCGATTGGCACCCGATTGTAATGGGTGACCTGTCTCTTGCGTCAGAGGCTGTGGGTTCGATCCTCACTACTGGAAAAATATTGTGAGATTAACATAAGTGTTCATCTAGTATCTGGGTGTTTATTTATATATAATTTGTGTTTATTTACAAAAAAAAAGTATGTTATCAGTTACCTAGTATCCATAGTACAAGTTAGGCTTAGATTGGGACTAGATAACATTGTGTAAATATGGACTGGAATATTTATAAAAAAAAACTTGGGATGGAGAGTGAATATTTCGACTGCTCAGTTATATTCACATAAGTACATAGGAACACGGCTTGGTATAATTTTACGACGCGCCTTCATAGGCGTAAGCACTAAACAGTTGGCTGTTTTAGTGGCGCTTTATGGGCGTCGGCACATATGCACATTGCGGGGTCGACGACCGACGGTTTCTAACCATTAGGAGACACATACATGTGTCGCCTTGGCGAACTATCGGCGAAATATCCCAGTTTCGTGATATTCTCGCTAATCTTTACGCGTCGAGTGCGGCTCCGGTTTGGGCCAAATATAGAGTAACCTTTTTCAGTTAAGTTAAAATTATCTAAGTCTAAATCTATAATGTATAAGTTATATTGTTGTAGTATAGCTTATATAACACATATGCTATTAGTTTCAGATGTATAAACAACAAATTTAAACATGGCTTCTTACTTTTAAACTTGATTTGAGAAAGTGTGTTTGACGTAAAATAAGCAGACTAGTAATGTTATAAAAACAAAGTAGATAAAACGCCGAGATTTTCGCGCGCCGATGACATCGACCGCTTATTTTATTGTTATTTGTTTATTTTAAAAAATGATAGGCAAAAACACGAAAAAAGTCGGCCAGCCGGAATGAAATTGTTTGCATAACCAAAACTTCGACAGAAATAAACGTAGCTTTTTAGAGAATTCAGTTAACCATAAGAGTTCTCCAAACTCGAAATGAAATCGGAGCATTGGTTCGATTTGTTTAGAAGAATTTTATACTGAATGAGAATGGATTAAAATCAACCAGGAATTGTAAACTGTGCTGAACGTACCGTTGTTATAGGTAATTTCGCCCCATTAATTATTAGGTATTTTTACACCCTCTTAAGTTAAGAATATTCTTCCCTTGAGTTTACCATTCGAGTTATAAGACTCCTAACGGTATATTTTTCATTATCTGTCTACAAATAAAAAACTACTTATGAAAAAATAATATAAATACAGAATGATAATTCGCATTTTATAAACTATTGACGCTTTTATCTTTAGCCCCTATTGTAACTAATTATGATTGTAGTATATAAATGTATTCCTGACACAAGTGGTTTAACAATTTTCATGTTATCTAGTCACTATGAAATATTTGATATAAAAGGGTTATCTGCCCCTGAAATGGTTTTCAGGTCCTGAAATAGTTACGACCAATCCAGTCGTACACGAAACTAATTTGTTGGGAAACTAATTTCTACCTGATCGCTGACCGACAACCACGTGCTCTTCGGGGAATGAAGGGCTCGCGACAATTATTAATTATTATTACATATTCTTTATTGAACACCAAAAAAACATAAAAGGAAATGTTACAGAACTATAAACTTAAGAGGTATAAACAATAAGGCGGTCTTATCGCTAAGGAGCGATCGACAATCTACATTTTTTAAAGTTGAAACAATTATTAGTGAAAATACGTACCAGTTTGGCCTCAAATAGCGGACTGAACCGTAATACTCTGCGTACCATCGACGTAAGTAAGGTTCGTTCGTAAGACGATCTGGTCCTTTGCCAAACGGAGTAACATATAGTGTATATTTCACTCAGCATTTAGTAGTTGATAAGTAAGTTTATATGATATCAACATTCAACACTGACTGCCTCTCTATCGTATATTAATGTACGTATTAAAAAGAGGCAATATGTGTTATGTCGTCTAATGGTACATATAAATATGTCGTTGTTCCGATGAATAGTTTAGTGCCGAATGATAGTCGTTTATTTCATATGATTACGCCGTGTGACCTTGGGCTAATCTGTTGCCGAAACCGGTTACTTGCAAGCATCATTAACTTTCCGTATCAAATTGTGGCATTTGGCACGTTTGTACGGACGACAGTTATTACTTGTCGAGTGAGAATCATTCATGAATGCTGCAAAAAAAATAAATGCGGTAGGGCTGTAAAAATAGATTCTATAGTGACCAAAGTGGGATAGCTTTTAATAACGACTGTTTTAAGTACCCAACTAACGATATGGCCCCTTATATATCAACAACGATTACAAGTAATATTTAAAATTATCACATTTATTTTTCGATTTCGAATAGCGTTGGTAAAAATTTCCTCGAAAATATTTTTTGTTTGCATGTTTAAAAAAAAAACTCGAGCGCATTTAAAAAGCCATCGCTTCTGTCGTTAAAAATAAAAATTAACGAGACGCGAGGCTTCCTAGCGCGAGAATGTCATTTTTAGTGGAATTTAATTTTAAAGCGAGTTAGAAGCGAGCCACTCGTCGACGATGTAAACTAACGAGGTAGGTAGAGAGGGTTGTGCAAGCTAACAGTGCCGGAGCAAGCCTGGCTCCAATTTATACGTAGTCGAAAATTTTAAAATGTACTTGGAATTTTCGACGAAAATTCGTCGCGAAATATCGTCTAACCTTAACTAGGCGCCTATAAAAATAAAAAATAAACTATATAAAACTGCCCCCAGTTTTATATAGTCATCTCTTTTTGTTTGCAGACGTAAAAGCTATTGTTATTGTTTTTCTTTCCAACAGTTTACGCAGCATCTTAAGCGCAGATTAAACAATAGCACCCGCTGGCCATCTATTCAGATGCGGTCGGCGTTAATAACACTGTGTTAAATTGACGTTGGATATGTATAATTTAACTCGTGGATAAATTAGGTCGTGGTGGATTGCGGCCTAATTGATTCCGTTCCGCTGCATTGCAAACAAGCTTCGTGCCATGCATTAAAACAGATACAGAGTAGATTAGCATTTGACTCGCGTTATAAACGAGATTTGAGCAATGACGGAAGTTATGATTTAATTTATTGAACGTGCGTTTAAAACAATAA